TTAGGGATTGGGCCGTGAATGCGGGAGACGATTATGTTGTTATCTGATGATGTCATCGGTTTGGTTGCAATCACGGTAGACTATGATAATGTTTCTTCCATGACTACGGGAAGTATTCACGATTTTGCCGCGATCATGACGCCTCGGGAGACGCCGTGCCAAGCTTAAGTGCAAGTTTAGGTGGTAGTACATGTGATATAAAGTTTTTAAAGATTATTGGGATTTGGGAGAGGGGGGCCTGGTGAACAAATTTGCTGGGGGACCCACGGGCTCTTATCGCCGCCACTGAACTTAAGAATGATATTTCGGAAGCTATGGTCAACTCCCAAGGACAAAATTCTTACAAATTTTAGTTCTGGAATACATAGTTAAGTTGTTAGTAGATTTTCCATGGCTTAAAACAATCTTCTTGTTTATTACAAAAAATACTGTGGTTTTGAATTTGTCATTTATTGTTATTGCTATGGTTGACTCTAGCTTCAAAATTATATTGCAGTTGAGTTATTGTAATTCACGTTTTAAAAGGTGCAAAACTTCAAGGATAGAAGATTTTTTTTGTATAAAGTGTAAATTATTTGTGCCTTCAAGCTTACATTAATTTCAGTCAATGTAGTAATCTTATAATATTTCAAGCATGCAAATGTTGATGTCCTACAAACATTATTAGAAATATCAGGTTGTTTTTGTTCCTAATCTGATAGTGTTAAAAAGTGATCTGAAATAGTGAGCTAAAATTGACAGAGTCATCTTGTTACTTTTAAATTATTCATTTTTGAAATTCATTGAAGTAAAATTGATAAGCAATTTAATTTCTTTTTTTTTATTTAAAGAACCCAAACCTGAATTATTGTTAGTGCACCAACATAGCAAAAGTATGTTTTTGTAATGTCGTTCCAATATAATATCTTAGTTGGAGTTAACCCTAAACTTGAATTGTTCTTCAATCATGCCATTTTAATATCTTAAACAAATGGAGTTTTGCTTTTAAAATTTGAGATCAAATTTCTTGTAGATAAGTTTTTGATGAAATTGTTGCCAAGCCGTTTTGCAGTTTATTTATGTTGAGCTTTTCAATTTTGTGCATGGTGACAATTTTCTTGTTATGGACTAATAAAAATGTAAAATAATAATTTTTGTATTTATTAACCCTTTAACCCATTTAAAAATCAATTATAAAAAAAAACTGCATTCCTGTTCCAAATATTTATTTGGAGAGTGGTATCTTGATTTTTTATTAATTAATTATTCAGACAGTTTAATATTAAATCTCTTTTGAATAAAATCGAGGTACCTTGTTACAGGTACTTTATCATAGTAAAACATTAAGGTGTATATTAATTAAAACACTCACCTTTGGCTCGCTGCCCCCTTTTTGGTTAGGGGATTAAAGGAAATATCCTCGGGGGAAATCTGTGCCTGATAAATTCTTTTACTGAGTTAAGTAATACCTTTGACTATTCCAATAGTCAATGGTAATACACAATAATAAGAAGGTAGAAAAAGTCTAATACAACTGAAGTGTTTTTGATACAGACATGGGGGGGGGGGGGTTAAATATTATACACTTTTCTAAATCATTCCTTGGTTTTAAAACAAAGGCAGGCTAGTAACTGTGAAAGATTTCAACTCCTTACCACGATGAAAGAAGTGGTTCAAGAACTATTGGGGAGGGAAGGATCCCTTTAATATTTAGTATTTAGGGATATTAGTACCTCAGTCTATTCATCTTGCCAGATGTCAAGTATCTAGCACGTCTGTGAATGAGTGACAGTTGACCTTTAAACATGTAGTGCCCAGAAAAAGGATTTTGAATTTTTGATAATCCGCCATTTAAAAATGTTGTTAGGGGTGTAAAAGTTTGAATATGTCTTCTTTTTCGAGATTTTTCCTTCGAAGTTGGGAGCATTATAAGTACAAATAGGCCTATATGCCCAAAAAGTAATGAAAAACATCAAAATTCTAGGAATTTTATAAAATTTTAGGGTGTTGTTTTTTGGGGCAAAGGGGTGTGATTTTTGGAAAACACCCATTAAGGTTTTGTAGAAAATTTAATTCCTGGCCATGGATATTCTTTCAAATCTTTGCTAGTTCTTACCGTTTTTTAGTTATAGCTGCAAAAAAAAACTTTGTCGTTGTTTTGTCGTTTTCAGATATCCGCCATTTTGGATTTTTGGGGAGGTTAAAATTTGAAAAAGTGTCTTGGTAAATTTACCATTAATTGTGATGTGGAAAGTGAAAATGGACCTGTTGTCGGGGATGCAACATTTTCAGTCCGGCTGATATAGAAAAATGAAATGAAATGAAATGAAATGAAAATGATTTATTTAGTCAGGCAAAGTTAGGGCCACATGGCCCTCTCTTACACTTAACCTGTTTATACAAATCTAAACATACAAATAAAACAAAACAATGTACAATACAAATAAAATACTATAATCTATTTACAATATTTAATGTAAAAAGAAACAATACACTTTTAAAACATACCACCTTACATAAACACCCACACACACACACACACCTACACACGTACACGCACACACACAACACACACTCGCAAGAACTAGCACACACACACGCACACCTGTCAGTGATCAACCAAGCGCACGCCTAGGATATACCAACCATGGCCATACGTCCAGAAAACAGATTTTTTAGTGCTGTCACAAACCGGGGACGGCTATCAAGGGTTTTTATGGCTAGAGGGAGATCATTCCAAAGGCGACAAGCAGAAACAACAAACGCTCTGTCATAAACTGCCGTTCTATGATGAGGCATACGCAAAGTTACTGAAGCAGAACGTGAGTTTCTTACACTTTCTTCAGCTACAAATTTGAAGTCGTTTAAAAAATATTTTGGAAATTTTGTTTTTAATATTGAATAGGTTATCATAAGAATTTTTATTGATCTTAGGTCACATAGTTTTAGTAATTTAGAATCGACATAAAAAGGAGTGATGCGCTCATTACGTCTCAGATCATAAACAAATCTTAAACAGTAGTTCTGAGTGCGTTGAAGAGCATCAGCGAGATTTACAGTCATGTCATTGATCACAGAGTTACAGTAAGTGAAGTGAGGGAAGACAAGTGATTTTACTAGGTGTAACTTTATGTGTAAAGGTAAAAAATTCTGTAACTTCTTCAGTGAGTGGATTGATGCAAACACCTTTTTACGTATGTCTACTACTGCATCTCCCCAGGTAAGCGTCGAGTTTATAGTAAGTCCTAGATTTTTCACTTTGTCATAGTAAAGTAAAGCTGTCCCATTTATAGTTACTGAGTTCACTGTGTCAAAGTCAATTGAGTTTCGTAAACGTGAATGACAAATTATTATTGGTCTTGTTTTTGTATGGTTTAGTCTAAGTCCATGTTTTTCAGTCCAGGTAATGAAGAACACTGTCATTGATATATTTTGCTGAGAAATGCGTATAAATCTGTAAGTCGTCGGCATACATATGGTATTTACAGTGTGTGAGGACTGAGCTCAGGTCATTTATGTATAGTACAAACAGTAGAGGGCCAAGGATTGACCCCTGAGGCACACCACAAGTAACTGTCTCCCAGTCAGATCGTACGTCATCAACCTCAACACATTGCCGCCTGCCTGACAGATAAGATCCCAGCCAGTCCAATACACCATTTGAAAACCCTATGGCCCTTAACTTTTCCAGAAGAAGATTATGATTTACGCAGTCGAAAGCTTTCGAAAAATCAAATAGTGTTAGAATTGTACCCTGCCGACGTTCCATTGCTTGTCTAATGTCGTCCGTCACACGTAATAGTGCTGTTTCTGTGCTGTGAGCCGTTCGAAAACCAGACTGAAAGCTGCAAAGTATGTTGTTGTCAGTCAGAAAATCCGTCATTTGGCAGTGCACAATTCTTTCAAGGCCTTTTGATAATGCGGGCAATATACTGATCGGCCTGAAATCCTGGCATATAGGTGATTGATTAAGGTCGAAAGTATTGAAATTCGGTTTTTTATCGATTGTTATACCTTATTTAACATAGAACAGGACAGAATCGGTTAATATATCGAGTCAAAGATGTAAAAGGTCTAAATAAATCATTTTGTTTGCCTCTGCACGGTCTGAGAAGAGGTACCTCATGGTGCTGTTATTTCACCATAACGCCAAGAGTTCCCATTTCTAATATTCACTTTATAAACAGAATTTAGTCCAAAAATTAATTGTAGAAATTTAGATAACTACAACAAAGTTAAGTTTATGGAGAACAATATATCTCACAAATTTGCTATCCCGACAAGAGGTCTCTTTTCTGAAATGTGATTTTTACGATAAATTATTTAAATGAAAACTACCACGAGTTAAGGCAAACGTTTGTAGTGCCTCCGAAGATGACATTATAAGCTTCTTTTGATAAAGAAATTGTTTCTTAAATACAAAAAAAAACTTTTTCTATGCGTATTTGAAATTTTCAATACCGTAACAAAATTTTTAAGTCCTTTGGATTGAATATTGTTTTTGTGTTGGCTCCTTTCCTCTCAGATAAGACAGCTATCCCAACACAAACCCTTGCATTGAACATCAGTATTTTCAACATGAGTTCTTTTTAGCATTGGCATTGGATACTGAAGTAGACATCCCCATCACTATATAGACTAGCCATTGTCAATTTTTTATTGAAAAAGAACTTTGTTATGTGAGCCAGTCACAGAATGCGCTAGTGCCTCAAATTCTATTTTCTGCCTTTTTGATTAGTCATAACCGTTGCTATAGCTCATAATGAGTCGTTTGATTAGTTAGACTTGGTAAAAAAGTGTTTGTATTCAACAGAAATAAGTAATCAAGATCAGCACAGTCAGTCGGTGGCTCACATCAACTACAAGGATTTTTATTTAAAAACTGACGACAAGTTCAACATGGGGATGGCATGTCTAGTTGTATCAATAGGCAAAAGTCAAAAATGAGCTTCTAAAGCTAATCTAGATTCAATGTATTTTTGATTTTTCAAGTAGAATAAAACTGTAAAGAATAAGCACAATCTAGTTCAATAACTTATTTAATAGTTTATAAGCAGGTTATCACAAACATAACTACCAAAATCCTATAACTTATAAACCAATACCATATAGGAGTACAGCCATTTGACATAAATCTATACATATGTACAAAATCGGTCATGAAACCATAGATCACAGTTCAGCAAGAAGTTTTAAGCCTCGTCTTGTTCTATTGGACTGTCACTTAGTGTCAATGAGCTTAACTGTTCTGACACAGTATCAACATTAACAACACTTCGAATACCAGCAATTCCTTTAGACGGAATGGTATTCAAATCTCGCTTGATTCTACGGCGTCGATGAGGCTCATTTCGTCGAATCTGAACCATCGCGTCAAAGTCAGCTGTGTACAAGAACCCAGCGATGAGGAGTTCACAGGTTCGAATCCCACTTTTGTAAGACGCTTCTAGTTCTTTGCTGGTTCGCTCATCGTACTGCCACCAACCTACGCATAGGTCTAAATATAATTTATTACAAAAAACCCTTTTCAGGATTAGTTTTTGTTGATTTATAAAATTGGTGGCAGCTGGAAAGCATGTTATTATTGAATTGAATGGTGCTCCAGCAAGCATGATAAAAAGAATTAGGGAGACTTGAGTTATCTTCAATATTTTATAAGAATGGCTAAGTTCAGTTTGTACTGAATAAAGGAATCGTAAGAAGTACCAATGACCAACATTAAAGTTATTTTAATACAAGATACAAATTCTAAATAAACAGAAAATTTACACTATTGTAAAAATCAACATTGACTTTTTGGCTATCTAGTACAAAACTTTACAAACCTAATACTAGAATGACCACAGTGTTAACAAAAAATACATTGTATAGGCATACAAAGAAAATAAAATGGAACAAGATGGATGAAATACTGTAGTAAAAAATTAATACCTGAGACAGATTAAAATACAACTATCTTATTCCAGCAACCCCCTTAAGGACAACGTTGGAAACTAAATCACGTTTTATCCTGCGTTTGCGCATAGGATTATGCTTACTGCACTGGACCATAGCTTTAAGATCAATGGTGTAAAGAGTTCCGCAGATAAGTGTTTCAAATGTGCTTAAGCCAAGCTGATGTACTTCTTCCAAATCTTTTGAGATTCTTTCTTCAAACTGCCACCAACCTTATAAAAAACACAAAAACTATGTAAAATATGTGTGTTTGTCCCTAGCATGCAAGTTAGTTGCACGTATATAGGCTAGTAAACAAATATGTGCCGGAATGTTTAATAGATAGTCATTGAAAAAATATTTCACTTGGCTAGACATAACTTAAATTATTTAGGACTCTCAAGTTGCACAATCCATACCTACTAATTACTGGTCAACATAGGATATATGCATTAATACCCCTGGCCTCAGCAAACCTGCAGACTATGCGAATTTCCATTTACCTGGCTGGGTTTCCACTAAAATAGTTCCTTAAAATTGTCAATATATCCTATATCAATAACATTAATTTGAAAAGTACCGTAGGCTACTAAGTTTGCTGCTATAGTACAAGGAAGGTAATGAAGCGTCTTTTAGCAAATTTCCCTATAGGGAAGTAGCTATTACCGTAGGTCTCATGGTAAGACCTAGGCCCGGGACCGATTTACTTTTTCATTTTGATGTCCCCAGAGGGCAAAAACACCATTTGTTCAAATTTATATATTTATATGTGTACATCCGCACGATAACTTGAGTAATTTTTGTCCGATTTAGATAAAATTTCGTTTGAAGGTGTAAGGCGGGATAAACTTGAATGAGTTCGCGAACCAGCGTGATCGGACCATGGGAACGGGGTTTTATGGGGTAAAAATGGGTTTTTCTCATTTTTTACCCTTAAAACACCAAATTTCTAAATTTTTCTCTTAGACCTTTTTGAAGAGCTTAAAAAAAAATAATTTATATTGAAGTGTTTTTGTACAATAATTGGTTACGGAGAAAATTCAAAAAATTGTTAATTTAAAATTCCCATGTTATTCTTCTTCTACATAAGCCAAGCTGATGTACTTCTTCCAAATCTTTTGAGATTCTTTCTTCAAACTGCCACCAACCTTATAAAAAACACAAAAACTATGTAAAATATGTGTGTTTGTCCCTAGCATGCAAGTTAGTTGCACGTATATAGGCTAGTAAACAAATATGTGCCGGAATGTTTAATAGATAGTCATTGAAAAAATATTTCACTTGGCTAGACATAACTTAAATTATTTAGGACTCTCAAGTTGCACAATCCATACCTACTAATTACTGGTCAACATAGGATATATGCATTAATACCCCTGGCCTCAGCAAACCTGCAGACTATGCGAATTTCCATTTACCTGGCTGGGTTTCCACTAAAATAGTTCCTTAAAATTGTCAATATATCCTATATCAATAACATTAATTTGAAAAGTACCGTAGGCTACTAAGTTTGCTGCTATAGTACAAGGAAGGTAATGAAGCGTCTTTTAGCAAATTTCCCTATAGGGAAGTAGCTATTACCGTAGGTCTCATGGTAAGACCTAGGCCCGGGACCGATTTACTTTTTCATTTTGATGTCCCCAGAGGGCAAAAACACCATTTGTTCAAATTTATATATTTATATGTGTACATCCGCACGATAACTTGAGTAATTTTTGTCCGATTTAGATAAAATTTCGTTTGAAGGTGTAAGGCGGGATAAACTTGAATGAGTTCGCGAACCAGCGTGATCGGACCATGGGAACGGGGTTTTATGGGGTAAAAATGGGTTTTTCTCATTTTTTACCCTTAAAACACCAAATTTCTAAATTTTTCTCTTAGACCTTTTTGAAGAGCTTAAAAAAAAATAATTTATATTGAAGTGTTTTTGTACAATAATTGGTTACGGAGAAAATTCAAAAAATTGTTAATTTAAAATTCCCATGTTATTCTTATGGAGAATATTATAATATGTTGTAGTTTCACTTGTTTATGGATAAATTTTGATCAAACTTGGCGTTTTCATTTATTTCATACTAAGCTATTGATATTTTAATAAAAAACACTTTTTTTAGTTTCCCTGTAGCAGCTAACCTAGGTACTCGTTAAACATAAATGTTAATTTAATAGATTAATAATTAAAAATCAATCCAGGCAAATGGAAATTCACTAAGTCGGCAGGTTTGCTGCAGCGGGGGTATTTTTTTATTGAAATGTTGATTTGATAGCTTAGTATGAAATAAACGTAATTGGCACAATTTATCAAAATATATCCGTACACGAGCAAACTACTAAAGTTAATTTATTCTCCAAGAGATATACATGACAACTTTTAATTATATACACTTTTTTTGTGAATTTTTCCCTAGCCATTAGGCAACAACGCTTCAATATAATTGTATGAATTGTAATAAGTTGACCTCAGATCATTTTGACTAAATAGTAAATAATGTCATACAGACCATTTCGCCCTTCGTAAAACCATTGGTATGCGTCTTCTGATTCTGCCTCTTTTGCTATTGGATTTTCGGGTATTTGAAGTAGATCCGGCCTATCGAGATAGTCAGGAGAGATTTCTTGGCGACACATGGCACATCTACGACTTTGTTGAGCAATGCCCTTTAGGCAGAGGAAACAGAAAATGTGTCCGCATGGAAGCCTTGCTGGGTGGATACATGGCTGGAGACAAACTGGGCATTCTGGTGTCAGCTCGGGGTTATCAATACTGTTTTTTGGCAACACACCTGACTTGAGAGATGGCTGGTCACAGCTGACGTTTGGAACTTCTGAAAATTGCCATGTAAATTAGAACTAAACAACTGAATTTGAGAAATTATAGCACTATTCTGAAATAAATTATTAGGTTACCTTCAAGGTGGCTTGTCAATAACAACTTACAAAATTTTACAGGTGCTCCGTCAGTAGTCCAAAATTATGTCTAACTTCTTCAATTATTTCAAAGCTGACATGTTTCGTTGCAATTTACTCTACTTGACATCGGTGACCATTTGAAATCATCATGTGGTGATCTCAGTTTTGTCTGTGAAAAACTTCCTACGAGACACACATCTTACAATTCTTTTAAAATCGGTGTACAGCCCGAGTGTGTAGAGGACATCATGAACCCTGATATCTGGCCTACTGGTATATTAATCGGCAATTTTTTTCCGCCTCGTTCCTCTAGGCCTAGGTCGATAAGTAGCTCCACTGACGATAGGCCTACTCAGACTGTGAATTTTTTAGTGGAATCAGTGCCAACCGACTCGAAGAAATAAACATGGATGGTACAAAAAATAAAGTAAGTAAAATGCCTTCAAATTTGAGTTTTTGTGTGCTTACTCTTATTTTCCTCAACATCCAAGGACTGATGGGTAAGTTAACTCTACTTGAGGACTTTACGATGCACCAGCGGTGTGATCTAATATGTCTTTCTGAGCACTGGATTCCTCTGGCAGGTATAGACTTTTTTAACCTCAGCGGATATAACCTAGTCAGCAATTTCTCTAGATTAGAACATGGCAGAGGTGGTACTCTTATTTACGCTCGTTTGGAACTTGACTGTAGACCACTTGACCTGTCGTCTTTTTGTATTGAGAAAATAATTGAAGCATGTGGTGTCCTTGTTACCTCACATAGACTTATTGTTATTTCTATATATCGAACCCCAGACAGTGATGAGTGGCTTTTCTTAAACGCTTTGGAAAAAATCCTGACGTCTGTGACGGAATGGTCCAACCATAGGATCGTCATTGGTGGAGATGTCAACGCACAGTTTGACGTGACAACTACCAAGAGGTCGGTGGCAACTCTTCTCAACCTTCTAAGGGAGTTTAACATCTACTTCCACAATGACCAGCCTAGCAGAGGAAATGCCTGCCTAGACAATGTTTTTTCTAACATCCCCAAAGATGATGTATTTTGTTGTATTGAACCGTTCCATTTTTCAGATCATAATGCCATTCTTTTCAGAATAGTTAATGATATCATACATGAGCCTGATAAGATCAGCACCTTTGCCTTTAAAAGACACTTTTCTCTTCAAAACATCACAAATTTCAAATTCAAAATTAACTTGATCAATTGGCAGGATAAATTTGACCAATTTTGGACTTCGACTGACTACACAGGTAACGACATATTTTCTGTATTTTTTGAAATTTTTATGCATGTGTTTGACGAGTGTTTTCCTGTGTGCAAGTCTCGCTCAAAACCAAACCCAAAAGGGAAACGGTCACGTGCCTGGTACACTCCTGATCTTGACAGGCTCAGGCAGCAGGTAAGACATGCCTATGATCTGACCTGTGTAAGTAGTGACAATCTTTGTAAGTTAGAGTATAAGACCCTAGTTAAGAACTACAAACGGGCAGTAAAGGAGGCCAAGCTCAATTATAATGCCCTATTCATTGAAAACTCCAGCAACAAATGTAAATCAGCCTGGGCAATTGTAAAAGAAAATTCCCAATCTCTCGGAAGCGGTAATAAGCTTCCATTTCATCCAAATAAACTAAATAGTTTTTTTATTAACTCTGTTAACAGTATTAGAAACAGTATTAAGAAACCTGCAAATACTTATGATCATTTCTTACAAAAAGTTCCTTTCAACAATTCAGAGTTTCACTTTTCTTTGGTCACTTGTAGTGAGGTTATGTCAGTCATAACTAAAATGAAAAATACCAAATCCAAAGATATCTATGATATCTCCAACTGGTTCATTAAAGAAATTGTTGATGTAATAATTTCACCATTGACTTACTGTGTAAACGCCTGTCTACAGGGGGGATTCTTTCCTGATTGTCTCAAAATTTCCAAAATTTGTCCTATTTTCAAAAAAGGGGATAAAAACTGCCCAGGAAACTATCGGCCTATTAGTCTAGTACCTGTTCTGTCCAAGGTTCTAGAACATATTATTCACAATCAGATTAACAGCTTTTTTGAAAACAATTCTCTCTTTAACAAACAACAATTTGGCTTTAGAGTTGGACAGTCCACTGTGGATGCAATTGATGCCATGGTTCAGGACATTCACAGGGCTTTTGAAAATAAAGATTTTGCCTGGGCCACCTTCATTGATCTTAGCAAGGCCTTTGATTGTGTTGACCATGAGATCTTGCTGCATAAGTTGGAGTTTTATGGAATCAGAAACAGTGCTCTAAATCTTTTGTTGTCTTATTTAGCAAATCGTAGACAGGCGGTATACGCTGATGGTGAATGGTCCTCCATCGCCCTCAGCAACTGTGGGGTACCTCAAGGCTCCGTCTTGGGCCCCCTTCTGTTTTTAATTGCTATAACTGATCTGCCTATGAATCTTAGTTGCAATTCCTATCTCTATGCGGATGATACTACCTTGCTATCTTGTCACAGTGACCTTTTGCATCTTAAGTCAACTGTCAGAAACACAGTCAATACTGCTGCTGAGTGGTTTTCAGCTAATAGTTTTCTTTTGAATAAAGACAAAACACAATCAGTCATATTTTGCCTTAGACCTCTACATGATATAGGCCCACTTGAAGCTGAACTGTCCAATGTGGTAAAGTTTCTAGGTGTCCATATTGACAAACAACTGACTTGGTCTGATCATATAACGCAACTCTGTACTAGGTTAAGTAGAATGATTTGCCTTTTTCGTAAGCTTAATGATTTAGTTCCTATTAGTTATTTAAGATCAGTTTACTTTGCTTTATTTCAGTCTGCCTTGAACTATGGTATCATTTTTTGGGGTAATAGTTCTCATGTCTCCGATGTCTTAATATTACAAAAAAAGGTCCTGCGCATAATGGCTAGGGTTGATCCTGAGGAACATTGTCGCCCCATTTTTATTGAATTTAATATTTTAACTGTTATTAATTTATATATATTTAATATCATGTTAACTAGTTTTAAGGAAATGGACTCACATGCCATAAGGAGTGATTTTCATGATTTTCAAACTAGAAACAGACATCAATTTGATATACCCCATGTTAGACTGAGCAAAACAAAGAAAAGTCATAAAATTCTGGGCCTAAAATGTCTAAATAAATTGCCCAACAAATTGCTATCACTTCCTTACAAAGTTTTTAAAGCTAAAATTCATATGTGGCTAGTTAAGAATCCGTTCTACAAACTTAACGATTTTTTAGAATTTCCTAAACCATTAAATATTGAGTAATGATTGTACTTTTTTTTCTCTTATAGTTATCCTCATCTGCATGTATTTTATATTATCTTTGTATATTTTGATTTGACCTTGTACTCTACATCTATTGTACTCTTCCTTGACAAATGTTTCCCAACATAATACCTTCATTGACCATTCCACATGCATTTGTAATGTCTATTGGAAAATAAAGCTTTGATTTGACTTTGATTTGATTTGATTTGTCGTAAGATTTGCTAAAGTTTTTTAGTACCTATATAAGATTACCTTTCTGGCCTTCTGGCGCTAAAATTATTGTAGACTACTACTACGATGGTATAATACTGATGGTAAATTATTGAATAGACTAAGTTTAGGCCTAGGTTAAGTTAAAACCTTTTGTCTGGAAAACTGTTCTCACAAACCCCAAGAACAGGAATAGGGACCTAAGTTAACTTAAGTTTGAATTGAAATACGATAAAACGTTACTAAGAATTCAATTAATACTAAGAATTATTAAGTAACAAAAGGGGCACACAATAATTAGTGAGAGGTCAAGGTTTTGGTTTACATGCCTAGCCTAGTTTATAGAAGGCTGAAAATATCGAATTGAAAAATTATTGTAAATAAAAGACTAATTTACCTTCATCATTTGATTCGCTGGAAGAAGAATCGGATAGCAAAACTATTGCTGGTTCTTTAGGCTTTCTTGATCTTCTGGTATAATATCTGTGGTGTCCACTGGAACTGTCTTTCCTTCCTTCAGCCATTTTGTTTAAGTATGTTTTCGTTTTGTTTGACGTTTTCGTTTCGTACCGTACCCGTACCCAGCCGTACCCCAATCCCCCTTTCACTTTTCCATGACGAAATAACGAAATCCTTTTAGCGAATTTCCCTATAGGGAAGTAGCTATTACCGTAGGTCTCATGGTAAGACTTAGGCCCGGGACCGATTTACTTTTTCATTTTGATGTCCCCAGAGGCCAAAAACACCACTCGTTCAAATTTTTATATATGTATATATATATATATATATATATATATATATATATATATATATATATATATGTGTCCGTGAACACGATAACTTGAGTAATTTTTATCCGATTTTGATGAAATTTGGTTTGAAGGTGTAAGGCGGGATAAACTTGAATGAGTTCGCGATCCAGCATGATCGGACCATGGGAACAGGGTTTTATGGGGGGTTTTATGGGGTAAAAATTGGTTTTTCTCACTTTTGACCCTGAAAACACAAAATTTCCCAATTTTTCTCTAAACCTTCTTAAAGAGCTTAAAAAAACAAACAATTCAGTATATCAAAGTGTTTTTGTACGGTTATTGGTTACGGAGAAAACTAAAAAAATGGTAAATTTAAAATTCCCATGTTATTCTTATGGAGAATATTGTAAAATGTTGTAGTTTGCTTGTTTATGGATATCTTTTGATCAAACTTGGCAAATATATTCATTTTATACTAAGCAATAATTATTTTACTTAAAACACAGACTTTATTAGTTTCCTTGTAGCAGCAAACCTAGGTACTCGTTAAACCTAATGTTATTTAAATAGATCAATTGAAAATCAATTCAGCCAAATGGAAATTCGCTTAGGCGTCAGGTTTGCTGCGGCGGGGGTATTTTTACTTCATGGACAACTAACAACACGACTTCCGACTTGACATTTCGATAGTCATCGAGTCATCAGCATTCAGTCTCAGTTCTCAGCAATATTCATTGCATCATTGGTCTCAGCATAGATAAAACATACTCCCTTAATAGATTTCTCATCCTAATGGAACAGCTGAAGACAATTTTATTGTTAGTTCTGTACGGTTTATGTAGAGGTCGTGTTTTGTTTACAATTTGTTTCCCGTTAATACAGTCATTTGAAACCTCGTTTAACCAAATAATACGATCTAATCATAAACAATAAATTGTCCTCTAGTTATTTAACCTAAAAGTAAAGCACAAATCAAGAAATTAACCCTAAAATAATAGAAACAAAATTTCGTCGACACTAGCGCCCAGTGTGGCGTACATGAACTAGACATGAAAAACGAGCTTCAAAATTTACAATGGGATGAGAAGTCTACTTGTGTTGGTTAGTCTATGGTCTCAGTCAGTACCATTGTGTTATAGTACCATTGTGAATGTGAAATTTGAGTACCATACCACGGCCGCCTTTGGCCAAGGGAGTATGTTTCATCATAGATAAAACATACTCCTCAATGAGTATGTTTTATCTATGGTTTCATCTATCGTAGGTGTGCTATTCCCATTCCCGCCATTATGCTGACGTAACCCTTATCCGAGGTGGCGGGTTGTCGTGTACGCACGAGCACGGCCACCTTTAACTAACTACAGGCCGCGACCTGGTAGAATTGCCAACGTCACAAGTGGTGTTTATCAGTGACAGACGTCTCATAAGATAACATGGCAGACAGGTGACATCAGCTCATTAATTCGCACTTTATTGATTTAAATTTAAATTTATGAACATAAATTTATTAAAATATAGAAAATAAAACATACAGAATTGAAAACCGATACAATATGAATGAAAAATCTATATTTGTATATTAAGCGGATAGCGGAGTCATTAGTGTTATAGTTCAGTAACCAATCTTTCGTAAATATACAACAAATACCATTAGCTGCTTCCAAACAAAACAGCTGTTACAACCCCACTTGCGACGTTGCCACTTCGAAGGACGTGGCCAGGAGTTAAAGGCGGCCGTGATCCACTGCAGTTGCCGGCCAGTAACCGGTGGCGGACATCGGTGGCCACCACCTCAAACTTCTTCTTATTTTTGGTGACTGGTTGACGTGGTGGCACCTTGGCGCGTTCCCGGCCCTACCTAGGAAGATTAACATTTGCCGCGTTCGTTCTGGAAACACGACGTACTACTATAGCGTCCCAGTATCGTTTCCTGTTTGGTCAGGAGGAACCGATTAGAACCTCTTCTGCGATGGAGCGGTGGATTGTGGGAGAGCCCCTCATGTCGATTTAAGAAGAATTATAAAAAAATATTGTATAATCTTTTAATTATTATTTTCTTGGATGTTTATGGCTACTAATATAATAAAAACCAAAAACATAGTTAACAAAGTATCCTTTTTAAATAGTTATTTTATTTATAATAATAATAAATAATCTTTTAACTATACAATTATTTTTGTAATACGGTATATAAAACTAACTTTTTAGTCATACAATGTATTTATAATTTTTATAAAATTAAACTGTCATAACCTAACCTAACCAACCAAACTTGCTGAATAAAAAAAGATACAAGATAAAAATCAAATGAAGGTTTACTAATAAAAAAAATATTTCTGTTCTTAAAATAAAATTATAAATGCTTCAAATTCTAACAAAAGATGTACTGTTAAGAAGTAATCGCATTCTAAGCAAAATCTTTGACAAAAAGTTAATGTCACCGCACCGGTGGAAATCTGAATACCTCATGGACATCAGTCGAGTACATATCGTTACGGTAAATGCTGTTCCCTCGAGAGAAGACTGGGACGGGTGGCGTCGTCCTGTAATCCAACTATCATTGTTGTCGCAACTACCATTGCAGCTAATGGTATTTGTATTTACGAAAATTGGTTACTGGACTATGACACTATTGACTCCACTTAAAATGTACAGATATAAATTTTCCATTCATATTCCATTCGGTTTTCAATTCTGTATGTTTTATTTTCAATACTTATGTTCATAAATTTACACACAGTGCGCTTGTCTCTGCAGTCTGCACGTAAACTGAACCAAAATAGTAGCTGCGTGCTCGCTCACGGTGGTGGCCACTGGTTGCTTCGTGTGAAAGCTCCCATTTAATTTAATGCCCCGCGACGAGTTGCCGCCATTGCGGTTGCCGGTGGTTGTCGACTAGCAGTTGCTCGAGGATACACTGCTCGGCCACTAGTGCAGTGGCTGCGTGTGAAGGCTCCCATTTATAATAATGTTAAAGCTGTGGCGGGCAACTAGTGGCCTCGTGTGAAAGGGCCCCTAAGATATCACAGAATCGTGACTCAGGGACTCTTAAATCAAACCTGACTGACTGCCCCACCACGTCTCCCGGTTTGGCGAACCTTACACACGTCACATGGAATGCTGACACTTCTCGTCAGCAGAAAAATCATTAGCCTCATATCCCATGCCATGCCCGAATCATCGAAAGTGATGTAGCAATTGATATCAAAACTCTGTGATACTCAACAAAACCCAAATAATTAAATTGCAAGATTATGGTGGCTGGTGGAGTTACAGCACGTTCCCGTTTCCCAATTATGCCAATAGTGGCTATGACTGAATTACAAAATATTTTAAAAGTTATAATAGCACAGTTAATGTACCTATTCTTAAGTACTAGATCGTCGCAGGTACACTTAAATGGTGTAGCACTAGTGCTGGTGTCTAGGACAAAGTCCAACACTCACCCCCTCGCCTTCATGTAAAGTACTTCAAAGCTCATGGTGTAAGAAGACCCTGTGCCATAGGAATTTTCGTACAGTGCTTCCCGTTCGGGCTCTTTCTTGTTCGTTGTTCATCGCAAGTATATTTCTGGCACAACTACCAGAGCTGAAAGCGTACGGGTTTCCCATAAGTGACCATCAGTGTGTTTCCTCTGTACCTCACTTTTCTGTGACCTAGCTTACTTGGAAGATACATAACCAATGGGTTTAATCTGCAGTTCAACTCTTGCTGTCAGTCAATGCGATTGATTGATCACCACTACTAGAGATCGAAAAACACTTCATAATAATCATAGATCGTACTGCACTGCAATACGAGTTTTCGGAGTATTGATATCGAGATTCGAGCGAGAATGAAAGAATGCGTGATTGCGAACTGTAGAGTGTCAGTGTCAGTGTAGACTATCCCCAAATCCATAGAATAAAGGATCATTCTCATTCTAATCTAATCCAATACTAAAAACATGGCGGCGTCTCATCATCTGACTGCTGCCAAACACCTGGATAAAGGAAATGGTTTGATTTTATATTTGAATAATTATTCTTTTTACGCACAGAAGGTAAGTCAGTGATCTAGAGGTATATTATTGTGATGACTGTTCTGTTTATGCCTTTTAAAATAATTATGTACATATGTTATTGGAATTTGAACTTCTTATACCAGCTGACATCGCATATCCAATCAGCTGATTCATGCAGCAAGAGCAGACCAGACACGGCTACTTACGGACTTCTCGAAACTCGACATGTCTTGTCACTTTTCACTTTTACGCCTATCAAATTTTTGCCCATAATCATAATAATCAAATCTCAGATCAGACATAATATGAACCCCTATGAGGTTCTCTGCTCGTTGTTTCAACATTCTGATTTATTTGTTGAATTGATATACATACATCATCGCATAATAAATATAAACACATGAAGTTATCGCAAAAATATGGGCTAGGTTACATTGGCCTACAAAGTTTGTCACAACCTGAACTTGATAATTTCTTTTTGCTTTTGAATTGGTGCGACTCATGTTAATTGTCCATTTATTTGGCCTAACTAGGCCTATGATTTTGTACACTTCATCTAACAAATCCATTAGATAATGATGTTATTGCATTGGATTTATATTTATTTAGCTTACCAATTTCATCTGGGAAACAAACTTTTTAATAAAATACTGTAGGCCTAGGCCTAAGTTACACTTCTGACTTTAAAGTTATATAAGTGTCTCTATCTTTAACAACCGCTAATGATAAGTTGCTAAATTTTGTTTCCTCTGGAAAGCGACTAAACAGGGATGAAAACATTGTCCATAGCAGAAATTGAGGCTGCACTTTACTTGACGTCCTACACTCATTCAATTGTTTTTTCGATTCGATATTTTCATTCGATTGTTTCATTCGATATATCGTTTGGTTAGTTAGGTTAGGTTAACCTTACCTAACTAACCAAACGATATATCGAATGAAGCAATCGATCGATATTTTCATTCGAATGAGTGTAGGACGTCAAGTAAAGTGCAGCCGAAATTGATTTAACTTAACCTAATTAGGTTACTCCAACTTAATAAAGGATTCTAGCGTTTGGATTGACACATAAATATCAAACCAAACACGGTGTGAGGTGTTCTTTTCTTAGCTATGGGTACTAGGCTACAATGAATGATAACATGGGCTGTTCAAAAAATAAGGAGGGAATGTTTTCGTCTGATACCACTAGGTGAGCACTTAAAGGTTCAGACGTAACTTAATCACATTTTTCACTCTGAAACTATGTCCTGCCATCAAGTGTTATTGAGCTGCCCATAGTTGCAATAATTAATTATGTTAACTTGAAAAAGTGTGCTGCTGTTGAAAATCCTGCTAGTTGTGGGATGCAGTCTATAAACAGCTTTTGTTGGTCAAAAATAAAAAAAAGCCTGATAAGAGTATGGAACCAACATTCATTCATTTTATAAAATGAAAGTGCTGTCTCAATTAAATTAGTACATTCATTAAACGACTAAACTAATGAGGCTTATTCGTACATCCGTTCTTTTTTTTCAAGAAAATACCCCATCTAACATAGCTAAAAGGCCATATCCATCAATCTGAAATGGGGAGTTTTCCCTCAACCACCATACAGTTCAGACCACTTTTTTCCGAGTAACTTTCACTTTTTTCTCTAAATGAAGACTTGGTTAACACCACCAGCACTTTGCTAACAATGAAAAGCTCCAGTTGTATGTCTGAAATGGCATAGGTGGCGAAATTCTATGGAAAAGGAAGTTCAAAGCTTGTCCACCGCAATGAAGTGCCTTAAATGGTTTGACGACCTACTAGAATTATTTTTGTTCCCCTTTAAAATGTACGCTACATTTTTTAATGTTCAAACTTTTTTTTTTTATTCAATACGTTTCTTACTTTCTATGTAGCCCTCGTTTATTATTTTTTTCTCCCCAAGAATTTTAGCTGTTTGCCTTAAATTTTTATTCCAAAAGCTGATAGGATTTTTTATTCACTCTCAGTAGTTTGCAATTCCTATTTCTGACAAACAACTATATCTTAATTAGATTGTTTCTATAATTTAGGTGATAACTTATAAAGAGTTTTGCAAAATAACTGGCTCAAATTATATGAGTTTTTATTAATTTTACTTTACAGCAATGTAAGGCAATTAGACATTTAATATACAAAATTGGTACCTATAGATAGAGTGTTTCAATAAGGAACAGTCAACTTGTCAAAAACATTTTTTCACTTCTAAGTTATGTACTTTATAAAATAGTGGAAAAACTCTGTAACATGCCTTTTCACCTGTCCCATTTAAACCATTTTCATTGAGGTGTGAAGTATTCAAATATTATAGGGCTATTGATGTTTTCATTTGTGCTGACGAAATCATAATAAACATGATTCCCCAGAACTCTGGTTAACACATTTTTATAGTAAATGAATTAGATTAGAAAAAAATGTTAAGTAGTAACTAATACTTACTATTTGATACTTATGTTTGCTACGATGTTTTTGGATAGACTGTGTCAATATATACATTTAAAAATATAACACTACTATTTACACAAAACTTAACCAGGTTGTGGCGGTTAATAAAACAAGTAACACATTTTTGGGGAAGGGGTTCTTTGAAGTAACTTTTAGGGGCTCTTCACTCAGCTCCTCCAGCGAGTACATTGGCCTTGTTACTAAGCTGTTTCTAATTGCCCCTTTGAAAAATAAGGTGATGTTCATCTCCCTCACCTTATCAGGCAAGGTGTTAAACAGCCTTATGGCATTGCGGGGATAGCTCTTAAGGGTGCAGGAGACAACATTGTGGCATGTCAAGGTGTAAGTTAGTGCTTGCCGAGTACCATAGCGGTAATGAACTTCTCTTCGATCGAACAGATGGACAATATGTATTGGCTAAAGCCTGTAGGAATGCCCAGGTCTTTAAAAAGGGGCCTAAAAAGTTGTTTGTAATCGGCTGACATTATGATTCTTACAGCTTTTTTCTGAAGCAATAATGTCCTGTGCTGCTGGTGAATGGCCCCAAAGTACCAAGCCGTACATGAGATAGTTATGAAATAGAGCCATGTTACACAGATATCAAGAATTGTTTTGGTATGACGTTTTGAAGTTTCCTTAGGAGGCAAATTACCCTAGATAGCCGTGCGTATCAATGTGTGAGTTCCAGCTCAGTTTGGGATCCAACCAGAACCCTATAAGTTTAACTGCCTCATCCCTTTCGTTCAGTGGCTTCAGTGTATAATAATAGGCTATCTTGAAAATGTAATAGTTTATCAATGTTGAATGCTTTTATAATAAACAGACCTTAGTCTATAGTTGGAAAGTAAATAAAAACACTTAAGATACCTATATGTTTTATGTGTTGGACGAAGCCTATTTTTATTTACTTTCTGTAGGCTAAATTTAATAAACACATCTTTCTCTGGATCTTCGCCTGCCGCCTCTAGAGCTCAGGAGAGCTGTGCATATTTTTTTTTTTTTTTATCACAATTTTATTTACAATCTGTTCATTTTTAGAACATTTAGCAAATACAATAACAAATTTTAATAAAACGTTAGTTAATCTCTGTCCATTGACAGAGCTAACTTAAAAATATTTCAATGAAAACATAAATATGTAAATAAACAAGGGAAAATTAAATTGTTCAAACAAAACGTGTGCTTAGATCCAAAACATGAATCCTTTTTAGCCTGTATATACTGGTGCTGTTGTCCAAGAGGTTTAGAGCCAGGTGATTAGGGTGATTTTCAAGTTTCTTTAGATATTTTGCACTAAATTTGGTTATTTCCTCTTCAACCGTAGGAATTCCACTGTCCTTGTGAAGGATATTGTTATTAACATACCACGGGGCTTGCAGAATGAACCTTAAAACTTTTGACTGAAATCGTTGGATAATGTTTATGTTCGACATACTGGACGTTCCCCACAGTTGGATTCCATAAGTCCAAATTGGCTTCAGTATTACTTTGTATAGTAATAATTTATTTGCAATGGTCAATTTTGATTTACTATTTAGGAGCCAGGAAAGATTTTTAAATTTTAAATTTAGGTACATTCTTTTATTCCAGATATGGGTTTTCCAGGTTAATCTTTTGTCAATCGTCATGCCGAATGTTGTTTTTATCTTCAAAATCTTGAATGGCCACACTGGACCCAGCTGTTCCTGATCATTGGGCTTTAAATAAATGATCCTGGCTAATGAAACAGCTGATCTTAGTCAGTAACAAAGCTACACAGATCATCTCACACCATTCTACACTCATCCTTCACTCATATTTGGGTTAAAATACGCACCTAAGTGGCGTCCCCATCTTAATGATTGATAATTGATTAGATAGTAAAATAATAATTGACTGCCCCAGCCTCCTGAAGCGAATCAGCTTTTGTGTGCCTACAAACACAAGATCGAAAGAGATGTTTGCCAGACTTCACCACGGTACATTGTATAAACTGAGTAGTACAATTGTCCGTGTCCAACGCCAGGCTAACCTGCTTCCACCCGATGTCGACTGTTTTGGACTACCATCCCCATTGTCAAGAGGAAGATGCTGTTGGCCCACCACAGTGCTCTCCATTGTTATGAATTTATGCATTTTTATGAATGTTTTCATTGTTGTTTGTGAGCCTTTATCTCATTGTTATTTTTTGTTAAGTTTGTTATGATTATTGTACCTCAACTCTAGTCCTTGCTTGTCATCATTCTATTTATTTCTAGTCATGCCTGTTTTATATGTACACATTATTATTAATATTTAAGTAGTATTAGTCAGCACGTTTTCTAAGCTTGTCTCACTGTATTACTAGACGCTTCAGACACAATTTTGATATTTTGTTAGTATTTATTTTGAGTAAGTAGTATTATTACATTGTATACCTTGTAAAAAAATGGATTTTCCGTCAATAAATAAACAAATAAAATGCTGATAAAAAATTATTTAAGTCTATAATATAGTGTAATCTGCATTGTTGTGAGGTAAAATATAAATAAACTTTTATAAAACTTCATCCTTCTTCTCTCCTAAAAGAAACTGTAATGAGTATCGTTTATTTACATTTTCAGGTCATCATGGCACTTTTGGAAAAAAGATTGCCATTTAAATCCCACGTTATCAATATTGCAAAGGGTGAGCAGTATCAACCTTGGTTTTTAGAAATCAATCCCCGTGGCGAAGTACCAGTGCTTAAGGATGGTATTAAGGTTATTCCAGATTCTGCAAGAATCATTGACTATCTAGAGGACAACTTTAGTAACAATGGTGAGTTAAAAAGTTGTAAATGTATGTATTCAGGCCTGCCCAAGAACTGCAATTTCCTGGTTGCGTTGGAATAAAACCAACCTAGACAAATTTTGGTTGAATCTACATATATCACATGATGGGAATTGGATGCTGAGAATTGTGACAATACATAAGTATTGAGATGTTGCTTCAATAAACAAACCTGATTAAATTTGAAATAAAAACTTCACCAATATTTTCAGAATTTTTAATTTCAAGAGGCCTTTTGCCAGCTATGCTGGCATCATCTTTGTGATAATGTGTCTGATGATGCCAGCATAGCTGGCAAAAGGCCTCTTGAAATTAAAAATTCTGAAAATATTGGTGAAGTTTTTATTTCAAATTTATATTCATTCCGATATTACCAGTTCTTCTTGAAGATTGAAGAAACCTGATTAAATTTTGAACTGTATGAGTTATTTTGTTAATAACACCAAATTTTTATGAGATATTCTTAGCAGCTGAGGGCATGCATACTGTATGATTTTAGTCTATTGCAACATTACACTGTAATGATCAAAACTTGATACCGGTACTTGTCCTAGGAGATACTCGACTGATACCTCTAGATCTGGGAGCAGAGACTCGTCAAAAAGTCATACACTTCCGCAACATCATAGACCCTGTGCCTGCCAATGTAGTGACAATCGGGTCGTTCTACCATCCCAAGTTTGTTGGGAAACCAAAGGCTCCTTTTATTGGTCCAGTGCGGAAAGTTCTGAAAGGTTAGTAGCTTTTAAAATTTCTTGTAGAACTAAATGGTAAGGAAAAATTTAGTGGGTGCTAGATCCCCAGATAGTATTGGGTTTTTATAGTTTTGTGCCCATAAAAATTACGTAGCCGCACTGGGTGGCTCAAAAGTTTATAACAAGCCAAGAGATGTGGGTTGAGTTGACTATCAATGACCAAGGTATTTAAAAACTATCCAGGCAGTTTCTTAAGATGCTTTAAAGAGCCAGAACCTGTCAAACTTTGGCCAAAACCAAAACTTTGGATGAGAAGTTGAAAAATGCATTATTTAATCAGTTAATTTAAGTGTAATCTATAAATTTGGCAAATTTTAAATTGTTGGATAGGTACACATATTGTTTAAGGAACATAATCATTTTGTTATTTAGTGTATATATTATGAATATTGTAAATAATTTATCTATAACTATGATGTGATCATGTAATCATTGAGTGCCTACAGTACTCACATTAATGGGTTAATTTACTTTAAAGTTAAGAACCCATGAATAATGTTCCCAAATTTTTATTTTAGCAAATTTCCCTTTTAGTGAATAAGCTTATTCCTGCAGTTCTCATGATAAGACAGGACCCATTTACTTTTTTGTTTTGACTTTTGATGTCCCTAGAGCACAATTTGTTTTTCAGGATTAATTTTGCCAACAGTGTCATTTAGAGGCTTCTGATTGACTATAACGAAGGTTTAGTATTTGAAACATTTTTTTGTTCATAGAATAAAATTATAAATGCCTCAAATTCAATCTTATTTTTTTTTATTGTGAAATTAAACTGTCATAACCTAACCTAACCAACCAAACGTGATGACAATGAAAAAATCTAATGAAGGTTTATTAATCGAAAAAATAGTTCTGTTCATAAAATAAAATTATAAATGCCTGAAATCCTATTTTATAATTTTTTTATTCTAAAATTAAACTATCATAACCTAACCAAACTAACCAGACTTGCTTATAATAAAAAATCAAATGAAGGTTTAACCGAAAAAAATCTGTTCATAAAATAAAACTATAAATGGGTCAAATTCAATTTCATGATGTTTTAATTATAAAATTAAACCGTCATAACCTAACCAAACCAACCAAACTTGTTGATAATGAAAAAAATCCAATACAAAAAAATAGTGCTACAGGTGGGATTCGAACCCGGGTCCTTCGGATCATCAGCCCAGCACTCTATCCACTACACCACCGAGGCCGATGGCATCAACCGTATCGTCGCGGTAATGATGTTCCCTCAGCCAATCAGAAGCCTCAAAATATTACTGTAGGCAACACTAATCCTGAAATAAAAATTCAGCGTCCCTAGAGGCCAATAACAATTTCTACTAAAAACCATCTGAATATGATGAAATTGGGACTTGTAAACCTGTGCTTGTTTGTAAACTAGCTTGATTGTACTATGGGAAAGGGGTTTATTGGGTAAAAATTCGGTTTTCCCATTTTTTATCCGCAAAACATTAAATTCCACAACCGTATTTCTTCCCAAACCAGATTGTAGAGCTTAAACTTAACTTAAGTAATTGATTGTTGTACATTTAAAATGCTTGAGGAGAAAATATTTTTAAAACTGCAACTTATAAATGTTATTCTAACAGAAAATAAGTAAACTTTTGTAGGTTGCAGGATTATGGATATATTTTGATGAAAATTTGCAAATGTTTGTATTTTGTTCCAAGCTATTAATATTTCCCTAAAACACAATTAATTACATTCCCTGTAGCAGCACACCAAATTACCAATTGTTAAACCTAATTATTAATAAGCAATGAATCTGACATGTACCGGTACAAGAATATAATTGAGTGAAAAGCCAATCAGGTAAACTGAAATTGGTTGAGTCTGCTGGTTTGCTGCCTACTTCAGCGAGGTTATTGTAAATATTCATATTCATGCCACAAGAATGATAAAGTTGATCTGAAGTTGTGTAGTAAAAAAACACACATAATAATCTTCTACTATCATAGAGATGACAAAACTTTTTCATCACTCTGTATTTGAAAAAAGCCCATTTCCATACAGCTGAGATTTTTGAAAATCGTCAATTTGCATTGATACCAAAAACAAATAGTGATCAGCTGACTTTTCCTGGGACATAAACATTACTTTCGCTACACAAACAATACTTTACCTGACATCAACAAAGTTACAACTGAAGTTTCCGGTTAGCTCAAAAGGAGTATGAAATAGTTATTTTTTCATCGCGATAAAAAGTATCATTCAATACTCGTCACGAAAGTCCCATTTCGGGGCTCAATAGTGTTTCCCATGCGAGTCCTCGACTCGTATGTAAAACTAAACAAAATCTCGCTAGAAAAGGGGTTACTTTTATGACTAGTAGTGAAATATACTATTGTTTTACAGCTGCTGAAAACAAGAATGCATCCAACCTTAGAGCTCTTGCAGAAAAGTATCCAAAAATCAGACAGATTCTGCTGGAAAAGGCCGATTTGCAAGAAAAGAAACACCAGATCATCACTGATGAAGCGGCTTATGTTAAACTTCTAGACCAAGTTGATTCTGCTCTTCTGGAAGTGGAGAAAGAACTTTCATCTCGTAACGGTATGTATATCTCATCCCGGTATTTTTTATTTTTTCCAAGGAAATTTTTATACTTCTCAAAGTATTTAGAAATGTTTCAATCATTTTTCAGTTTAAGAGCTGGTAGGCAATGCCAAAGCAGAACGTTTTTAAGCTTTCTGCAACACACTTGGAAAAATAAAAAAATTTCTGTGCGCTTTTACAGTCCATGTTGCGTGTAAATTAACCGTGTGTGTGATAGTTTTAATGAATAATTGGAAATAAATAAGTTTTCTAGCGCCCGTATCCATTTGAATATCACCTTGAATCGCTACAGTAATTCGGTTATTCTATGCGTTCTTACTCACAATCGATGCACCGAATATTGACGTCGCAGCTTTTGTTTATGTAATACATAACGTTTTGTAGCGTCACTGTTAGCAGAACGGAGAATTTTTCTACAGAAAATAAAGTTGTAGACTTTCTACAGAAATATTATCTGTAAAAAAACAATTGTATCAACTTGTTATGTACCATTTTCTGCAGAAACTTGTACAGGTTAATTGTAAGAAAGTACCATGTGGCCCTAACTTTGCCTTTGAAAATATGTAATTTTCCATTATAAACTAAATGGGGGGGGGGGGGGGCAGGCTGGGCTTTCTGCAGCCCTTGCCGTCTTTCTGGGACAATGTCGCACTAGGCAGTGTTAAATATCTACTTTGTTTTTACCTGTGACTACTGGTAGAACTAGACATCCATTATTATGTTAGTTTCAGCCAGTTTTAAGAGGAAAATTAACTTAAATGATGTTAAATTGAGTAGCCGAAAGGGTGCATTGATGTCGACTAAATTTTTTTTTAATACACGACTTTTTAACACAAAATTAAAATTACCACTTATTTTATTCAAACTACAGTAACTTAGAACATGTTACATAAACTGACAGTACCAGTACCTAACAAAAACTAAGAGTGCTAAACCTTCCCGGACTATAGGCAGATATATCCGCTATCATTTTGTGTATAGCGGACGGATTATTACGACATCTATTGTTATAGTTGATTATATATAACAACAACAACATTAATCATCGTAAAAACGGTCTTTCTTTAACCGATATACGATATATAATTATTGTACCGATGTTCTAGAAATGTTTTTCATAATTATTGTTAAAAAAATTATTATGGACAAAAGTGCTGCATTGGTCAACTATTTACATCATTTTATAAATGATAGATGTAAATAAACGGTATCAGCAATCTGACACTTACTTTCTTTCATAAGCTCGTCAACAACCTTTATCATGGGTAAGGTGAGAGTTAATATGTTGTTTTATAGTTAAAAACTACATAAGTTGCAATAACTTTTGAACACCGCAATTGTTACAGCAATGGGGTGTTGTACTATTTTTTTAGAATTATAAGGACCATAACATATTAATTTTGATCAAAACCAGCTTTTCTCCAAAAACCAAATTTTTTGTTATTTTATGGGGTTTTTATGGGAAAATAACATAATTTACAATAACTTTTTAACCGTAATTTTTACAGAAATGGCAGTTGTACCATTTTTTTTTTAATTTAAAGGGCTACAACATACTAAATTTTTATCAAAATCGTTCGGGCCATTTTTGAGAAAATCCGATTTTTCTGTTATTTTATGGTGTTTTATGGGAAAATTCCCATTTAAATCAAAATTTCAAAAAAATTTAATGTTTTAAGGACCATAACATACTAAGTTAAAACTAAAACCAGTTTTTTTTCTAAAATCCTATTGTTTTTTATGGGAAAATAACATAATTTACAATAACTTTTGAACCGTAATTTTTACAGAAATGGGAGTTGTGCCATTTTGTCCAGAATTTAAAGGGCTACAACATACTAAATTTTTATCAATATCGTTTCGGGCCATTTTTGAGAAAATCAGATTTTTCCGGCTTTTTATGGAAAAATCCCCATTAAAAATCAAAATTTCAAAAAAATTAAAAAAAAATGCCTGGAGATACCATGGATTAGAACCTACATACCAAATTTTATCGAAATCGGACCACAGGTGTAGTCCCTAGCTCTGTACACATCCAGACACACAGACATCACTTCGAAAACCAATTTTTTGTGCCCAGGGAGGCCGGAGGCCCAAAACGAATATATCCACTCAAAACTGAAACTCAAAAATTTTGACAAAAACAATACTTTCTTCATATACTATGGTATAGGGGGAGAAAGTAAAAAGATATTTTTTAGTTTTTTTTTTAAATACATATTATAGGCCATCCGGGAAGGGTTCATAGAATTTAGACAGTATCACACTGTGTGAGTAGCTCGTTTAACATGTTCATTTTAAATGAAAAATTGGCTACAGCTTGGCCATACATGTAAACACAGCTGGCCATCTACTTCAGTACGGTATCCTTAACACGTCCGCTACCGATCGCCACATATTCGCGACGCTACGGTCATTGCCACGGCCCGAGGTATACATTATGATAATACACATAGACCGGGTGTTACTTGGTTAACAGTACACGCAGACCACGGGCCAGTGATGCGGCAAGGTAAAAAACAGTTTTGCCAACTATAATATGACGTCAATAATCATCATATCCACAGACCAAGTGACACACATATGCGACAGACATCCCTGTAGACCACTGCAGGCAATTCAGGGCCTTCAAATGGACAATAAATATTATTGATTCTTGACCGTTAAAAAGATATAAGCTTTTTAATAACATTGGGACACCGACGCAATTATGCGACGGCAGTCCATATGAATGGAAAATTTAGTACTATTGCGGTAGCAAACATGTTAAGTGCACAAAAACAAACCCATAACCTAAGTTTTCAGCTTCTTAGCCTACTTTTATTAACTAAGATACGGTATATTTTTTACAGAAAACGACCCTCGATGGTTATGCAGTGAGGGATTCACTGTCGCTGATATTAGCCTCACCATTCTTCTGGACAGACTGTACCTACTGGGGTTAGAAGACAGGTTCTGGTCAGGCGGGAAAAAACCAGGGATAGCACGGTATTATGCAAGAGTGTGCCAAAGAGACTCGTACAAACAAACCGTCCCATCCGGGATGACTCATCTCAAGACGTTCTTAGAGATGCAGTCAGGCCTAGTCATCGGAACTGTCATATTCACAGCCATAGCTGTCATCATAGGAGGGTTCCTCTTTCTCAAGAAGAAATGAGTTTTGCTCAACCAGATCTCTTGCTGGTCCATTCCAGTAGGAGATGCTGTACTTAGACTGAATTTGTCATGTTTCATTTTTACAAATAAAATAATTTAAAGTTTTTATCTGCGAGGTCTTAATGTTACCTTTTTTGGCTCTTTGCTTGAAAGTGTTTATCAGGAAGTACGTCTGAGTAATGATACTATTACTAGTTTTGTGCTGTATGTTTTTGTAAAAAGCACTTTAAAAAGAATTCATCCATATAAGTTCCGAATTAGACGTTTCATATTAGAACTGTTCGTAAAACTCCAATTTAGAAAACAATTTTTAAGTGCAAACATCTAAGCCGTGGAAAAATTTATAATTTTTAATTTCTTTTTACAGACAACTTATGAAAGAGAATAAGGTATTGAAAATTGAGGCAGTCACTTCAGTGGCCTCTGCGTCTTTTTCACATATAGATGGTAACAGTCTAATTGAGTCTACAGTTGTAGCAACTTAGCACATCACTATGTCATTGTATTGCTGCTAAATTATTTATACATAGCCTATTAAACTCTGCACTGCTAACTTCTGGTGCACGAGCTAACTAAAAACTTGGCATTAAATTTTAAGACATAGGTGTCAGATTGCTGTAGGATTTTTCACCCCTATACAGCCTGATTTAAAGTACATAAAATTGTAAAGGGATGATAGCTTCTTGGCTTTAGCTCTCAAGGTCTTAGCATGTGTTAGTTTTCAATTGTAATTAGCACACTCATTAGCACTTCATTAGATATAAAATTGTTTGTGATTCTGAATAGGGGTTTCCATAAAAGATCAGTCAAATACTAATCAACCAAAGCTGGTGTTCTGTTTGTTTTACTTGCATTGGAATAACTGATTATAAGTCACTGAAAATTTTCACATTTTACATCAACTCAAGAATGTGTACTCAAATTCTCATTGAAAGCTATAAATATTCTATGAAATTTGTGTCTGCTTATTCAAAATTTAAAATGTTTTAAAATCAACGAAGGATTTAATTTTCTAACTGAAGTCAATAAAGTAGGCCTACATCACTCAACTAAAGGAAGATTAAGTAGAAAAATCTGTTCAGTAAAAACTTGTAATGTAACAAACCATAAACACCAAAACATTAACAAAATGTATATCTTATCAGAGATACAAAATCACTGTTTCACTTAAATGACAAAACTTACTAAATAAATTAAAAGCACTGAGGTATTTCAAACAAGAATGTTCAGCAAGAGTATACATACACTTATATTTATTACAAAATATCTCCAAAAAATATAGTTTATCATAACAAAATCATTTAGGCAAAAATTTAAAATTCTACTCACAAAAATTACAAAACATTTTAAATTAGATAGTCTATTAAAGTTTTTAGAAAAATACAAAATAGGCTATATTAATTTATGTACAATTTGAGTGCAAAAGGTTAAGGCTGTAAATTGTCAGATAAAACACTGTGCACAACATTCCAAGAACAAGACAATGTCACTTAAATACAATTACATTAAAATGCAAGATGCTATTTACACAAGACATTTGTATTGAAAAAATAATAATTTGTTTTTTAACAGCACAGGTTAGGCTACTATAACAATTAATTACATGTATTTATTTATTTATTTGTGCAATAATCATGATCTAACATTTTGTACTTAATTTCTTTGATTATTTCTACAATTAAAACCAAATAGAGCTTTGGTTATAAGATGAGAAAAAGAGATTAGTTAATAAAAGATGCAAGATGGCGAGGCCTTACCTACATTTAAGTAGCATACCAAAGACTTAATTATGAGCATCTGATGCAAAATTGGTAAACTTTCTGCAGTTTATCTATAACTTTGTCGATAAAAACTGTACATTGATGACACATCACCTCAAATCTAAATAGGGTAGGACCTATTTGCTTTGTTACTTCTAAATTTGTATATTTTCTTAATTGAGTAGATGAGAATTTTGTAGTTGTTACAGGTGATATGGTTCAAATGTCATCTAAATAATAGCCATATTATTAAAAGAATCCGGTCAACTTTAGGAAATTTAATGGCTTGATGTTTGTATACAGTAAAACTGCCTTAAAGTAAGAAAATATAGGCTACTTTCATTGGATTTCAAAGATTAATAGACCATGCTGCAATTTACAGAACCCACTTATTTATGGGGATATTTATGGCTTGAAGGATATGTCTAGTTAATTTAGTAACAAATGAAGGCTTAAACTTATCATAATGACCGAGCTGATTCCCTGCACTAAGAGTTTAAATTCCTTAAGAATAAGTTAACGTGAACTTATTTTCGATTCAAAGTAAACAGTAGGCCTAAACGTTAACTTACTGCCGTTATGATATATTTGTTCAAAACTTCTAAACAAATGGTGTTGGAAAAGACCCTTCATTCCCAAATCCAGATTTCTATTAGGCTGGATTATTATGAAACAAATGCAAAATATTACAATTTAACGATCTTAGTGGTAAACAAAGATTATGGTTACCAGTAGGTCTTTCAGGAGGTCTGCAAGAAACACTCCACAGATAATCTTTTTGTAGGCATTATTCATTATATTCATAAAAGTCTATATAAGTACATGTCAGGTAATGGAGGTTGTTTTACTTAAAAATGTAGGCCTAATTGTCTTAGGTGTAATACAATGGCAAGAATGGCTTATAGTTAAGTGTTAAGGCATTTCAAATTTGAGATGATTTATATGTATATATATTTTTCTTTTTGAAAGCCTAACAACTAGCTCAAATCTTAAGTTGTGTTGGCTAGTAATTGCAGTAGCCTACTTTCAAAAACCCAGTCAAAATTATTGTACTATTTTGGCTGATATAGTGTAAACATGCTCACAAGAAAATAAGTAGGGGCGTAATTTGTCATAAAAAGTCATTTTAATTTTTAACTAAGTTAGGGCCTACACTACTTAAGTAAAAAAAAGTTAAGTGTCGTGAAAAAGTCTCATTTTATTAGGCTAATTTTTTTGCCTGTGTCAATGCCTGTGAAGTGAATTCAGGCTTTTAAGGGAAACCAGTCCACCACAAGTTCTTTGGATGGGCCGAGAATTAAACCCGTCCCTCCTGCATCAAAGTCCGAGATGCTAACCATAAGACTACACACCCATTGGTTTTTTTAAAGCTATACATAGACTTAGATAATGATTTAGTAACACAGACACCTATTTATTAGCTTAGAAGTAAACAATAAATGTAATAGAATATTGAATAACGGTACTTTAGTACTATTTGAATGGGAAAAAAACTGGGTGGAGAGAATATTGCTTTCTTCAAAACTAAACATGTATGCCTATATCAAATAACCATTACATAAAATCACTTGTACCAAATCAACAACTTATTAGAATTTAATCTTTAATAGGCCTACTATAAATTATAAAAGGTACACAAACCGATTAACTTAAAGCTAGACTTTCCAGAAAAGAGAGCATGGCCTTAAATCACAAATAACCAGTTCATGATTGACTCGACAATCCTAAACCATTATCATTTCCAAGCATTTCACTCTTTTCTGGAGGCATCTCATTTCTCAGACCATATAATGGCATTCCCATGAATCTTGGAAGTTGTCCCTTATCAACGGATCTTTTCTTGATCAAAGGAACTTCTTTAGTCGATTTAGCATCTCTGTATTTAAAAGCACCCTCACCAGGCATATATGGTAGGAAACCTTTGGTAGGATACCAAAAGTTATATGTGAAATACCATATGAGAATGGCAATACAACCACTTATGAACTTCTCAACCATGCTATGAAAATACAGCATCGTACTTAAAAGCATTACATCCCATAAAATTGTGATTGAAGTCATAGCTATAAAGAGTCCTCTTACATAAGGAGAAAACTTCTCATAGTTAAATTTAAGAGTGTCCAAATCTGCTGTGTTCAGGTTTCGTAGAGGATTTGAGCTTACCTCCTTGATAGTGAGAGTGCGACTGTATTCTTCATTTCTAAGCATGTCTTCAATGCCATCCCACCCAATAATCGCTCTTGCTTCTTCGATTAATGTGAGGCTACTATGGATAAGGATGAAAGTGTGTCCAGATATGTCAAATCCTTGCCAAAAAAGCCCTTTCTCCAAACAGGCGGACTTTGTTTGAAACCTATCTCCCTTGGCGTTGCACCTCCCAACGATGCTTTCAATGTAGGCAAACAGATGAACCCAAAAAAACCAATTGAAAGTGGCTACTCCTAATCGTATTAAGTGTTTCAGTATCTTGTCTTTGCGGCCACAGCAATAGGTTGAACTTGTAAGGACTACAAATGGCACAGATAAAACTAGAGTCCATCCCCAAGCAATCTTCACGAAATAAACATTAAATACATTATCCTTTCTGGCAAAGTACGTCTTCGGAAAGGGCAGAACATCGGCAAGAAGTGAAATAACAAATAAGGTAGCTAAATAGATTGCAACCTTTAACCTAGTGTCCATGAACATTATTTTACGACAGACGTGTAATATCATCATAAGGATCACCTTGGACACAGACGAAGGCTCCGGAAGTGGTTTTGTTCCTTTTGTTTCCCATTTTGAATTTTCTGAAACATTAGGGCGAAAATTTAATTTAGATTGTGGAGGTGAATGTAATGGTCTTCGTTTTGTCGCCATGATGTGTCAGCTGTTTTGATATTTGCTTGCTTGTAAACATTAACATTAGCATTCTGCTAATCTGCTATGCAATTCAGCGGGGAAAAAATCCAAGGAGTAGAGTCGAGATGAAGTTCAATTTGATCATCGATTAAAGTTTATCGTACCAACGAGTGTTTGTAAACACGGCCACCTTTAACTACAGGCCGCGGCCTGGTAAAATTGGCAACGTCGTAAGTGGTGTTGTTCAGTGACATATGTCCCATAAGATAACATGGCAGACAGGTGACATCGGCTCATTAATTCGCACTTTATTGATTTAAATTGATTAAAATATTGAAAAAAACATACAGAATTGAAAAAAAACATACAGTATTGAAAACCGAAACAATATCAATTAAAAATCTATAGGCCTATCTGTACATTTTTTTAGCGGAGTCAATATTGTCATAGCCCAGTAACCAATCTTTCGTAAATACACAAATACCATATACCATTAGCTGCTTCCAAACAAAACAGCTGTTACAACACCACTTGCGACGTTGCCACTTCGAAGGCCGCGGCCTGGAGTTAAAAGCGGCCGTGGTGTAAGGTTCCTTTGTTATGGTAAAGGTTGTGAGGCCGCGGCCTTCGAAGTGGCAACGTCGCAAGTGGTGTTGTAACAGCTGTTTTGTTTGGAAGCAGCTAATGGTATTTTTGTGTATTTACGAAAGCTTGGTTACTGGACTATGAAAATATTGACTCCACTTAAAATGTATTGGTATAGATTTTCAATTCATATATTGTTTTGGTTTTCAATTCTGTATGTTTTATTTTCAATATTTTAATAAATTTATGTTCATAAATTTAAATCAATAAAGTGCGAATTAATGAGCTGATGTCACCTGTCTGCCATGTTATCTTATGGGACGTATGGCACTTAACCATCGATCTCTATTATATTGCACTTAACAACCCTAATTGCGACGTTACCGTGGCCAATTCTACCAGGCCGCGTTCTGGAGTTAAAGGCGGCCGTGGGTTATGGCAACGACAAATGTTATGGCAACATATCAATAAATTACACTAATATATTATAAATTAATACGGATTATTTATATTTTATCTTATGTTGGCTCCATGGGGGAAGAAAAAACATGTTTTAGCGAATTTCCCATGTATAGGGAACAAGCTATTACACTGTAGTACTCATGGTAAGGCCTGGACCAAGGACCGATTTACTTTTTCGTTTTGAGGTCCCTTGAGGTCAAAAACACCATCCGTTTAAATTCATATATATAAATTTAATATATAAATTTTAAGTGATTGCAAATGGATGGATTGTAAAAATAAAAAAAATCTACATATATTTTTATTTGAATGAGTAAGAAAACCAATCCACTAACCACGGTTGAGTTCTTAGGGGTTTTGTACAAAAATATCAGTTCTTTTGAGGATTTTGAGGTCAACTAAGTACACTCTGCCATGTTATCTTTATAGATAGATATTTAAAAGCTGTATATTTTACTGTCTTGTGAATCACTTTCTAATTATTTTAAAAACATTTCGTATATAGTAGATCTGTATTAAAAAGTGTTAAATAGATTTTTATTTCTTGGTCTATTTTATGAAAGATTAAACTATAATAGGGGAATAATTTGCCAACTGTTGCGACTTGTTACATGCTTTATTTAGGGAAGTGAATATACTAATGACACAAGGTGTTTAGTCTCCAAAATCCTAATGCCTTTCTGGTACAAAAACCTCTTAACAAACACAAGATAAATTAGAAAATTACCTCCTTCTTCTGAACTGTCTTCGTCTTCATAAAATTTGATCTTGGAGTAAGCGGCTGCCTGCTGAGGAATCTGGTGCAAAGCGGCTTTGAGCTGTGATGGATCTACGACGACAATCACAAACATGTTCTGTCCATTTTGGGACTGCAAGGTGACAAAGTCCTCCCCCATCTTCCACTGTTCCACCCTGGTCTGTCTACAGACAGCGAAAAGAAGATGAAGACAACAATGTGGATGTCTCACCGAAACAGCTGTGAGAGTGGGCCACGAATAGTAAGTTTTATAAACTCTAGATAATCTGGGGAGATAGAAATGGTATCTTTTCTGGAAGATATGCTGCTGATTGTCTAGAACTAATTGTATGCTTGTTTGATAATCATATCTCCTTTGTTTTGGAAATAATAAGGCGATCTAGTTAAAAGTTTACCAAAAGTAATGCATTAATCATTACTGTTTAATGGAAACATTCTTTACTGTTTTATGATGGAATAAAATTACAGTATTTGGATAAAAGAAGAACATAAGCATATTTAAAATGATTATGTTTTTATATGACTTAATTGAGCGGAGCAAGCGAAGCTCTTATACGTTGACTCTTATGCATTTCGTAATAGAGCAAACTTCTCATAGACGGCTGAAGCAATTGTTTCTAAATTTTGCATGGTGATAAATACCATATCGGTGAGTGCCAACATATATATATATGGCATCAAACAAATATCTTAGGAATCCGCCACACGGGCCCTCAAAGTTTCAATGCAATCCTTATGGAAGCAGTATTTGACACATAAACAAAGGCATAAGATCAGCTGGTGACTTTTGAATGAAGTAGATCAGAAATAGCTGATAGCATTATTTCCCGTATATTAGTACAGAAACGGTATAGATCATAATATAATCGAATGACGACACTAGCCTGAACCGTACTAAAGTCAATGAAAGTCAATGCTAATAGCCTTAATATCTCTTGTTTGGACGTTTATTGACAGTTCCATTTTGAATAATAAAACAAACATGTTTGCTATGAGTCCATCAAACTAAATTAACAGTCGGAGTTGTGTTTGGAGGCTTGTTCTAGGCTTACTTTTGGAAACCTTATGTAATATTTTTAGTGACCCCTATATTACTGATGAATTGGTTTGTGAATTAGTATATGATTTTTTTTATCTTTTTATCTTTTCCGAGTTTGTTTAGCTCTTCTACCTGACCGATTTTCATGATCGAGGTCTCAAATTGAAGGTATGCACGCAAAGACTTCACATCAAGATCGGCATATTTATCTACTGTATTACTCTACCAAAAAACATAAATTTGATTTATTTTCGAATTCTTACTTCAATTTAACATGTATTTCACCAGTTATAATTATACAATCCTATATATTTTGGTCTAAGAACCTGCATTGAAATACTGGCTTTTATTTAAGCCATAATTGATTCAAATTAATTTATTAATTAAGCAAACGCAAGGTGAACAATCAAGAGGAAAATTATATTTTATAAGGGGTTTCTATGATTAAAAATCAATGAGTTCAGTATTGTTTATGTTTTTTATATGTTTTAGACTCAAAATAATCAGTTACCCATGTAGCACAGATGGTTGGGCCAACGTTGGTAAATTGTGGAGCCACACAGTTGGCCAACGGTAGAAATGTCACCTCTTTAAACTGTTATCCAACTAACCATTGTCCAACAATGGCCCAACCATCCAAAAATACTGATGGCCAACTAACCATAACACAACTTATATCCAACCAACCGTTTTATTTCACACAAAATAATAAATATTTATTATGAAAAGTATAATTACTATATGAGTAAATTAATTAAATAGTTCATAAAAACAAATTTTGAAAAAAAAAACTAGAATAAAAGTTTTTGGCCCAGACGGGTCTCGAACCCGGGTCCTTCGACTTATGAGCCTCTTACCAATACCACTGAGCTATCTGTGATTGTTGCTGTAGAGAGTTTTCAAGTGGTGAAAGAGTAGCCGACAGTTGCAATGGTCGCAATACTTACATTTTTGATACTACACAGTATAATATGATTCTGTTAATCATTTAAGGCATCATAAGTAGTTATTATTATTATTATTATTTTTTTTTTTTTGGGAGTTATAGAGAGGATACTGGGTTTGAATATAGATGATTTAATTACTGTTAGATTATTAATGCTATTATAATTGACTGTTATGTTATGTGATTAATTACTCTTTCCACTTAAATTGTTGCAAATAAGTTAAAGAATAGGAAAATATATTTGCATTATTATAATTATGTTGTGAAAGCTAGATCCAGAGAATGAAAGTTGTGTAAACTCAACTATGGTCCAACGGAGTGAAAAACGGTTGGACAACGGTTGGCTTGATGTATGATACCCAGCAATGCATATTAATGTATATCATTAACAATGAACCAATGTTGGTCCACAGTTGTAAATATTGGTTGGCCTAACTATGAAATATACAGTTGGACAACGGTTGGTTGGTTGTGGAAGCTCCAACCAACCATCGACCAACTGTCCCCACAGTTGGCCAATGTTGGCCCAACCATCTGTGCTACATGGGTAATAATAGACTTTAATTTGAGCTATTGATCGTTTGATGTAGTTATGTTTAAGATACTGTATTACTCAATCAAAAATCATAAATTTAATTATTTCCCGGATATGATTTTTTTCCAACACAGCAGAGCAGCATGGGTCCTCTAGTTAGTATGAATCTTGTGGAGTTTTTGATAACAGAATCAAGTGTTTTAATGCGAACAAAGTTTATGTGTTTACATGGTAATACACAGCTTTGTAAATAATAGTGTCTTAGTTGAAATTTTTTATGTGATTGGCTTACTTGAGAAAAACAGAATTTTTAATATTAGCTTTTATAAAAAAAAGATATAAATTAGTTTGAATACATGTTAACAAAATTTACATATCACCCATACGCTGAGGAGTGAATAATTGTGAATTGCATGATGTGTTTGAAATGCCGCTACGTAGCAAATAGTTCCATCTTGTTAAGATCATCAAGGACGACTAGTAAGCACAGCAATTTTAGCCAAAACTCGACGGCTTAATCTTCGTCTTCGATCACCTTCCGATTGATTATACAAATTATTAACGTGTAACACATGGGTTATGGTTTAAACGCTAGAATCATTGCAAATGTGAATGTTAATATAACTTTTGTAACGATAATATATTTCTTGGTTTCGCTTATACTCTAACCATCACATAAAGCCCTCTTATGCAGTTATTAGTAGCAAAAATGGTAGGGTTCGAAACTGTAAAGGGTTGATTTCAAAGTTACATCTGTACCACCCTGTTTTAGAATAAGTTGATGACTAACCCTGAGGGTTTAAACTTAAAATGTAAATGCAGGTCTCCGAAAATGCCTAAAATTACATCTCTGTGTTTTTACTCCCCTTTTTTACGAATCAACGTGTAGCTAATCTAATTACACCAATATTTATCTTTACACAAATGTTCTCTTCACTTAAAATTGTTGGTAAAAATAACTATGAAGCTCGATGGCGAAGGCCAACCTTACTAATATTATAAATGTGAAAGCTTGTGTGTTTGTTTGAAGTTCAATCACGCATAAACCACTGGACGGATTGGGCTGAAATTTGGCATGATGATAGCTCACATTCCCGATTAACATATAGGCATATTCTTATCTCAAAAATCTTTTCAGACTCCCCCACAGTGGCTCTGTAGTTCCCCATGTTAACCTTATGAGTATTCATATTTAAAAGAATTAAAGAATTTAGTCAGCTGTTTCAACTAAAAAAGTTGGTTCTATGATATACAAAAGCATTAAAAAGTTATAAGATTTACCAATAGGGTGCAGCACTATAATTTTTTTTGCATTTATGTAAACAGCTAATTTGAACTAAGTAGCAACAAAAAACTGTGATACGCAATGAGAACTGTCATAGTAGGATTGTTTATATACAGTGTTATGTTTTGAATATCATGAATAATTTGTGATTTTTTGTGAATTCGTAATAATTTTTTTTTTTATCGTTTAGGTGAAGTGGTAGTGGTAGAACATTATGGCTATGGTAGATGTGTAATACCATTGGTATACCGTCAATTTAAAGAAGCAAATTTTATCAAACTTTGTCCTCCCCCATTGCAAACGCAAAGTTTGAGTACTATATAACTGCGATAAGCACTTTAAACTTATATGCCAACCCCGCACGAAGGACGGGTACTCTGCTAGTAACAATATGGAACATTGATGACTCCGCTCAATTTTGTGAATACCTCTGCAAACGCCACCTAGTTATGATAGCTCCTTACCTAAAAGCTGTTTTTATTTGATTTGACATAAAAATATTTCTCCAGTCTTTTTTTCTTTTGGTGAGGTTTAATCAATTAAATTGATCTCAACAGCTGATAAGTTGAGATCTAAGTATTACAATTTTACTTCTTTTCTCATCTCAATCCTTGAACCTCATTGGTCCATTACTTATGTTGTAAAATAAAACTAGTTGCTCTGCCCTGAGAATGGACCACAGATTTAATCTGCCCTAATTAACACTGATGAAATTCCAGAAGTGTGTACTACAAAAGATTTACCAATACAATTTTAATACTATTTAAAGATTCTTCCAAAAGCATTCTTCATTTTATTATATTCATTAAATATTATCTTCATCATTATACTTCATTTAAAAGAAGAGAAACCAGTTAACATAGGAACAAAACACCTATGAGGATGGTATAAGAAATATGTTATTCATTGAATGATCAACCATATTTTGTAGCTATTTTAAACAATGCTAAATCCTAAAATTGTTTATAATTTCTCTCTGTCGCAGTTAGAAGAATTATCGTAAGCCTTTAAAGCAACCGTATAGATTTCAACGGGTTTCACCTAGTAACTATTATTTTTATAATTTTTTTTACTATAAAACATTGAAAGTTTTTTTATAAAAACACATTAAACATTGAGGAAATAATAATAAAATCAAAGTGCAAGACAATAAAGTTCTTTATTTTCATAAAAAGATTAATTTACAAACTAAATTTTAAATACCAAAATATATGCTAAATTAAACAAAACATACACAATAATATAAAGATACAAAGCTTGATAAGTAATTCATACCTTAACTAAACATAACTACGAAATAATTATCAAACATAGTCCTCATAATTACGTTGCTGTGCAATATAAAACATAAGAAAAAATATATTTTACATGCAAAATAAAGTAAATGTGAAATGTTCTGTGTCCAAATCTTAGCCATGAAACATGCATAATTTCATACAAAATATGAGTAGAAGATATTATTTTGCTAGATACTTTTTAGTACCAGTAGTACATTTTTTGCGGTAAATTGTTATCATAGCCTATGGCTCTTTATACAACCAAATATAAAAAAATATAAGAAAAACCGTTAAATTTTGTTTACTTTTTCATGAGTACAATTGGAAGGATAATTTTGTAGTTATATCATCAATTATTGTAACTACTGCTATCAAGCAGATTAATTACAATTAATTATGTTACTTGTTTTCTGCTTTCAAATCACAAGATTTAAAATTTGAATAAAATTTAACATCAACACAAAGGTAACTAGATGTAGAGCTCTAGTAAGTTTAACTTCTATTTCAAATGACTAGCGATTACTAACAATGGTTAAGTAAAATATTCAACAGTCTTATGATTTATTGAAAACAACTAATTTTTAAATGGGACTAAATAGAATTTATGCATCGAAAGAAAATCCAGAATAATGGTCCAGCAAGCAGATGCAGTTCTGCCAACCAAAAAGATTTTACTCAGCTGGTGTGTTGGCAGCAGTGGTCTCTGTGGTAGTAGACACTGTTTCACTCGGAGCGTGTTCGTTTATAGCCAAGAACGGAAGTCGTTTAGCCAACTCAATCCTGCAAACACACGGGAAGATTAATTTATTCAATTACACCTACAGCCTTCAATTAAATAATTTTTATAGTATGGCTATTTTTAGAATAAATTCAATTTCTCTTTATCTGTTTTGTGACACTTCACCAAAAGTATTTTATAAAGTTAAAAGCTCAGTTCATCAGGAATCTCTGTAACGAATGTAAATGAATTTTTGCAAGAGGAATATGAATGGACATGTGGGACAGTTTTTCAGGGAAAACTTACCAAAACAGTTTTACAATACATGCAAAATATTTATGATTAGATAAAAAAGATTATAGATTCCTATTTTTTACTTGTATGAAACAATACAGACAATTTCTTGAAATTCCACAACTGTCGCAAAAATTCTTAAAAATTAAAAAAAATTGTTTAAAAATAATTAATTTTAGATAACAAAAATAAAATTTTGTATAAAACTTGTAGAAATATATTTTTATGGTAAATTTTATTTTGAAATTTCCTTGATCAAAAAACATCTCAAATATTCCCTTAAAGATTTGTTGGTAATTCCAACAGAGTTGTCAAATTGTATCCTGTTATGATGGTATATAAATCAAATAATTTAGACCCTCCCCAGTCCCCAACACTTTATTATTTTGTGAAATAATATAAAAAACTGCTGTTTGGTATAATATAATGCAGTATATTTATTCAGTGAATAGCAAGAATAGCGTGTGAATGTTCTCTCAGTTTTCTGTCCCTCTTGCACTATCCTCCCTATTGACATAATCTTTATTTTCAATTGTTATAATCATCACCTGTATCTAGGGTGGCTGATGGCATAGACGTACGGGTCGATACATGCAACTGCCTTGCAGGTTAGAGCGGGAATCATCGTAACTCCTGGTGTCAGCAGGGATCTGAAAGGAACACATCATAAATCAGTACATATGTGTTAATATGTACAGAACTAATAGTACAAACACTACATTATGGGGTTAAATCACGTTAAATGTTAAAAGTTTTATATCTTTTATATTTTCTTAAGCGAAGGACAGGCTATGTGATTGATTGATTACAGTATTACCTTAATTGATACTTTGGGGTTTTGAGATGTATGAAACAATCTTTATGTGAATAAAAATCTTATTCATTTATTTATTAATCCATGCTACGCTTTAATCCATTCATATGAGGATTAGTTGCTCTCTATTAATAGGTATTATAAGTGTTTGAATGAGATTTATAAACTACAGTCTTATAAACTCTTATCTGTTTATTTGATTTATATTGTATTAAATATGCTTTAAAATACTCACTGGTCCCCAAACGCTCCGATGAGCGCGAGCACAGCATATGGTGTCCAGGAGGCAACAAAAAGGAAGCAGATTGTGATCGCAGCCTTGGCAATTCGGATCTCCGCAGACTGACTTTGTTGCTGTTGGTTACTCCTTAGCGATTCAACATTCATCTTCTTTGCCTGAAGGATCATCAGTTACACTTTAGTTTGAAAACCAATCTTAGATGTTTGACAAAGTTAAGAAATGAATGCAATATCTCCTCAAATCATACAGATTATGACAAAATTGTAATCACATTACAACCAATGTCACACAACAATATCTCCATCCATACACTATGTATAAAGGAAAAGTAAAAACAGACCACATACTCATTTTCTTACCTGTTCTCGCAGGGCCTTCTCATGGTTGACAACATGGCTGACAATCTGTGAGTAGAAGAAGACAATCAAGCTCATCGGCAAGACGTAGCAGATGCAGAACAGAACCAGTACAAAGAACCTGTTCTCGTCTGTGTTGGTGAGGTAGTCAAATGAGCAAGCTGTCAAGTATCCCTCTGGAAAAAAATGAAAAATATCATTACTGTTATTCAATTGATTATTGCTGAAATTTTCCATTTTGATAAAAAAAAACAATGTCTTTACAACATTTTGGGTATAACTTGTAGTTTGTTTTCCCCAAAGTGTCCATTTGGGTTATTTTTTAACAACAAAGAATGCCTATCTTATCTTCTGTTTTAAGATTATTATTTTCTTCAGAATCAGGCCTATTTATTGTTGCTTATTAAACTTATATTTAAGTGTCTGTGGAGGCTTTACTTAAGTAATTTTCCAACTTTGACTATTGTTCTCAATCAATGATTCATCAAAACTCTCCACATTAAAATACTGTAAACAAATTTAAGTATGTTTACCAGGAGCGTATCGTCCCCATGTTTGTGAGGCTGGTAGGAACACCCATGGAGTAACGTACATCCAGATACAGAGGATGAACATGAATGCCTTCCCTCGAGACATCTTGCCATCCAAAGGTCGTGCAATCGTACTGAAAAAATCACAGTGTTAATACTAGTAAAACACTTCCTTATAAATTGTGTGTTGACAATTTGTGTTAAGTTCTGTAGTTATTAGAACACTGCAGAGATTGAACATGAAATGGCAAGACTAAATGCTACAAGGTGTGGAGGATGGAGGCACACTCACTATAGGTAGAAGCGGAGGCAAAATGTTGTAAGTGGTCACAGAGATAAGTAGGGTAAAATATACCTAGTAAAGGAACCTTTAAAACCAGCTGGAATTATGTGTTTTAATATGTAAAATTTACAATTAGGATTTTGTAACTGAGACACAATTTTATTGCTTTTGGTGTTTCAGTTATAGGGAGAGGACTTCAGACTCCATCTTGTTTGGACTTGAGTATGAGTCACAAACTCCCAACTTTTCTTTGTAGGCCTGTTAACAATAAACAAGTTACTACCTGTTTTTTTTGTTTTTTTTTTTTAAGTAAAAACCGATGTTTTTTTGTAACAGTTGCTATTGTAAAGTTAAGGATATAAATAAAATAAATTCCATATAATCAAGTTTTATTCTATTTATTTTTCCTAAGAACCATACTGTAAATAAAGAAACCAAGACAATATATTCTGGAGGGTTGATTTTGTTTGGCTTAGCTACAAGCTATTCGGCTTACTCAGATTATTTAACCTACCTGTATCGGTCATAGGCGATGGCAGCGTTTGTAGCAGCAGCTCCGATCCCCGACAGTGATCCCATGATGGCAAATACCTGACAACCTGTCTGGCCGAGGGCGAACCCGAGGTTGAAGGAGTTGTAGATGAAGATGGGAGTCTTGAGCATCATCATGAAGTCGCAGAGCGCTAAGTTGATGACAAACATGTTGGAGGGAGTACGAAGATTTCGTGCACTGGAAAAATACAACAATATCAACAGTTTTCTATTTACTGTAACTAAAATATAACTGTCATTTTAGGTTACTACACATTATGTGATAATGTAGCTCAGCTGATTTGGCACTCCTTCTACTGAAATTTTTGTACTGGGAAGAAGGAATTTGAAGGAAGAGAAAAGGTAGAAATGGATAAATTGCAGTCTGGAAAAGGTGTCATTCTAGAAATGTAACAAGTAAACAATTGTTTTAACTTATTTGAACAAGAATAAAAAGAGTTAAAAATTTTAAATCAAACAAATATAATAATTTTATCTACAAAAATAGTTAAATGAAACTACCTCAGAAAAGGAACTTATTGTGTTAAAATTATAAAAGAAACACTGTTGTGTTGGTTATGAATACAATAATTTCACACAACAAAATAAAATAATATATTCTTAGGTTTTAAATATCATTTGTATACACAAAACTCACATGGATTAAAAATTTGTTGTATGGACAAAGTTGCTAACAAATCATAAAAATTGAAATAAATTGTTTACGAAGACATATGTAGATTGTAAATAGTTTGTCCCCTTGTAGGTCAAAAAATTTTTAAAAGTACCGGTAGCTAAAGCTATTGTTCAGATGAAAATAAATTATGCAATCTTTTAAATAAGGGCAAATCCTATAAAAATATGTTTTTAAAAATAATAAATTCTTTCAAACAATTAATTAAAACTGACCGCAACAAATTTAAATATTTTGTAATTTGGTATGTTTAATCGGTACCAGCCAAACAAATTCTAAACAATATTATAGTATGATAGGGCCAAGCCCAGGCTTCATAAAGCCCAAGACCAAAGTACAAAACCGGATCATGTGTAGGTTTAGACCTGCACAAGGACAATCCTCAAGTCCTTATCAGTCTGCCCTTATCAGTCTAAGCCTAGATCATCTCATATCAGCATGGAAAAACATGAGCTTTCAGGTAAATGTGAATTTTTATTGCTATAGAAAACTAAATATATGATGATTCAATTGGTTTTTGTAGTAACCTTATATCCACACAATCTATTAAAATTAGAATAACAACAGAACTTTTAGACCTTAAAAATGATATTAATTATTAACACCAAACTAAGTTTGGCTACAACATGAAATTTTATTCTCGTAAGACAGGTGGGAATTTTACTAAAAAAACATAATAATAAATGTTTTAAATCGATTAATTTGAAATATTACTAGTGCAAATATTATACGATTAATGATTGGGTTGTTTGGTAATAAAAATACACTTTAAAATTCACAGATATGGATTATTCTATAATCTGTTTACCCGATAGAGCTTTTTGATAGAAAAATTTATGCTATATGGAAGTATAGAAATGAGAAAGAAATGGTTCATCCATGTTATTGAGTTGGTTATATGATGCCAATAGAATAATTAGTTGTTATGCTTGTTGTAGAGAGTTTCATCAAGTCTTTTTCAAATATAGCCGTCAATAAAGAGGAGAATGGAAATGAAGACAAAAAGAGGTGAGAAATGAGGCTAATTAATTAATACTTTATTACAGTATGTTTTAAAACAGTGGTTCTCAGCCTGGGGACGCACCCGCCTATACTCTGATTATCGAAAGAATATGCCTTGCGGAGCGGCCGTACGGTGAGCGAGTTTGAGTATAAACATTATATTTCACAAACTTGTGGAAACGTAACACAGAAGGTTAGAAATTTCTAGTAAATGGTGCTTAAATATTCAGTTAAGCACGTTTTCAGCGCATGTTTGAAATATTTTGTATCATATTCCGATGAATTAATATTTGTAGTTATGTTTGTAAAAACACGAATTTGCAAAATTTTAATTGCGATTTGTGTTTTTTTACAAATATAACTACAAATATTAATTAAAATTAATATGAATCGGAATAAGATAAAAAATATTTAAAACATGCGCTGAAAACGTGCTTAACTGATTATTTAAACACCGTTAATTAGAAATTTCTAACCTTCTGTGTTACGTTTCCACAAGTTTGTGAAATATAATGTTTATACTCAAACTCACTCACCACACGGCCGCTCCACAAGGCACATTCTTTCGATAATCAGAGTATAGGAAGGTGGGTGGAAGGATTTCAGGGGGAGGGGTTGTGAGTGATCCTAAAATAAACGATTATTAAAATAAAGCAAAAACTATATAACATTAATTTGGAATTGTAAAAATTTTAAATTTGATCAAGTTACCTTATTAAAAATAGAGTAACAGTGTGGTAGAAAATTCCTGGAACAGTTTAAGACATTTTACCTACGACCGTTTTTTAAAGTAGCCGTTTCAGTTCAGTTCTTAGAATTGAAAAGTTTCACATAACAGCATTGTTTACCTACTTTCATAACAGCATGGTTTTACTCATAACAACTCGAGTAATGGACCAATGAGGTTCAAGGATTGAGAGAGAAGAAGTAAAATTGTAATGATTGGAACTTCAACTAATCAGCTGTTCAGCCTAATTTAATTGTTGAGTGGTGCAATTACAATGTTTCATTGCATCACTGTCAAGTGGCATAAAAGAGGTTATAAACGAAAACATGACCTCTCTTAGAAGTTAATGATAAGTAATTTTTAGTAATTAAAACACTGTCATAGGTAAAGTAGTGTACGCAACTCGCGTAAATAGTGTTAACGACACTCGTAGAAGTTTTTAAGACACTCGCCAAGGCTCGCACCTTAAATTTTCTACTCGTGTCATTAACACTATCTTTACCAATCGTTGCGTAAACTACTATTTAGATCAGGTTAAGAGAAAGCTATTTAAGTTAAATATTTATTCTTTGTACCGTACTATAGTCTCTAAAACAACAAGTTTTACCTTACTAACTTAAACATTTTTTTCTCTTGTAGAGGCTCTTCAAAAAAGAAAATAACTGGAAAAAATATTAGTGTGCAACCTCATGACGTAAGTACTTGTACTTGTTGCTCAGTCAAGGACATTTTCTTTTACTGAATTTATTACCGATAATATAGAAGAAGGGCTGTATGAACATGTCGTGTGTTTCTGTGTTTCTACCACTAAGCTAGAAACACCAACTAAAAGAATCAAACAGCTCATTGGCTCATGGCTTCATTACAATCTTACAATCCCCTACTTCCAATTTGCTAAGTACAATGTCTACAATGTAATATTCCCTTAGTACAAATGGTGGCCAACGTCTCTCATTCAGTGCTACTGGCATTTTAAAATGTTTTTTGTGAGGGAAAGGTTGAAATTTAGCATTGAAAAAGGTCCAATACAAATTCACTTCCATAATAAGAACAAACTTATTTACAATTGTATTATCATCTGTAATCTTATAAATGGAAGTGGTTTCTTTTAACAATGTTTTTGTCAAAATTGTTGAGTTTGAGTTTTGAGTTGATACAGATACTGTATCCGTTTTGGGTCCCCCTGGACCCAAAAGTGGTTTTCACAGTGATGTGTGTGTGTGTGTGTGTGTGTGTGTATGGATGACGTGTACAGAGCTACAGACCACACCTATGGTCCAATCTAACATAAAAAAAAAGGTTGCATATTAAAGTGTGTTGTGTAGTGTAAAGTGTAATTGTGTGGCTGATGTATCGTACAGGCTAGCGAAAGAAATGCAGCCTTATCAGATTCCGAGTGGTTGACTACAACTGACACGTGTCCGTCCATTCATCTCCGAGTGCTGATGAGGAAGTGCCAAACGATGTATGTAATCTTGTACATTCTCATTCTTTACGCTAAGAATTTGTAAACAGGTGAAGAGTTTTAGCCGGTGTATAGTCTTACAACTCTATGAATGGGAACGATAATGTTGATGGTATCTAACAAAATTATATCCACAATATGTTGACATGTAGAGAACAAAATGTAAAATGTAAATGCTAACATAAAAGTCAGAGTTAAAAAGTTGTAAATAAATTTTCTATTGCCAACATTAATGTTAACATTAACTTATTTCACAGGTGCTAGAGAAGTGTGATGGACTGGATGAGCTGAACCTATCGTCTCCTGTTACTAAGAGAGAACAAAGAGGACGTCGTGGCAGAGGCAGAGGTCGTGGGTTTTATAGAGTCAACAGTAGAAAATCTGCTCCAGGTAAATCCACAACATAGAGTCCTTAAATGGATCAAAACAATATCAAATTCGCTACTCGCAGTACACTGATTATGAGAGTGACATTAAAAATGTGTTGCAAGTTCAAAAGAGTAAAAACCAGATATTTTAAAATTTGTCTTCATTTTAAGCTGGTTTTGATGTTTATTTGATATCCAAGAACACCATAACGCATATTTCTGGATAAATGTTGCTTTACCATCTATAGACAAGAATGTAACAGTTGAAACGTTTTGTGTTGGTTATTGGGATAGATGGTTTACGATACCAATTTTTGATTCAGTGGATTTGTATACTCTCGTTTGATAGTTACAACTTCAACATAACAAATTTATTTTTGACAAGACACAAGCACACTCTCACTATAGATTAACATAGGTACTATAAACTGGCTATACATGTTATAAGTTGTCCTCCTTTATCAAGTTTTTTATGTCCTCTGTAACGCATAGAGGATGCTGGCCAGCTAGTGAAATTTTTCTTGCTAGTTAAGGGTAAATTTTACAGTGTGCACTCTGTATAGTTTCTGAACGTGATGTGTTATTGAGCTGTAATAGATCTATCAGGAGTATGTTTGATACCTGATTCAACCCTTATTCTTATATTGTATACTATGTTTTCAGCAAGACCAATACAAGAGTCATCAAGTTCAACCGGAACTTCTGATTCCGCTTCTTCTTCTGATTCTGAAGATGAAACTACCTCTGAAGACACCTCAGACTCGGACTCAGAATCTACCTTGGAGAGTGGAACTAGCTTGTCTGGAAGTGAGGATTCTCAGACAACTTACACATCTCACTCGACCAACTCAGAATCTGAAGATTGTGACGACAGCTGTTCATGTTGCTCTTGCTCCTGTTGTGAGGATTCTTCAGTCTCTTCTACCTCTTACGAGTCAACTGATGATCTGACTGATCTTCCCCGAGTGAAACGTGGAGGTCGTCTAGGCTCCAAGGGTAGCAAGAAGGTGGCTCAACACTGCGCTCAGTCTTAACTCATTAGCCTTAAAGGCAATGTTGAGGCTTACAGATGTATTTTTAAAATTTTAAGATATGCTGATTACTTCAAGGTGTTTGAATGAGTTAAAAAACAATTTTAGCTTTAAGATTAGGCTGTGGTTTTTAAAAATTTATGCATTTTCCCAAATTTAGAATTTTAAAATTAGATACATAAAAAATACAAAGTGATAATGCAAAGAAGACTTTTATAGTATGAATGATGGAGACAAATCAAATGATAAAGGTATGCTTTAATTTTGTGGTCTACGAGTTTAAGCTAATTTTAAATTAATTAAGGATTATCAGTTAATAATGCATGTGTGATAAATGTAATTTATAAAATTATTGATTCTAAGATATTTATAAAATACGCTTGCAATTCTTTTCTTTATAACGTTTGTAAATTGCAAGTTCTTAGAAATATTTCTGTATTGAAAATTATAGTATAAGATATTATTAAGGAATGTTATTACAAGTTTTAAAGATATATTCAGACTTTGAATCCTATGATAAAAATACATTTTTACCAATACAATTTTTATTTTTATTTTTACCAAACTTTCTTAAAAATCTTAGATTGGCAATGTAAAGGTGTGTAAATAATTAATTCTTCTTTCATGGAGTTCAGGCTGAGGAATTTTTCAAATTTTTGTTTGAATGGAAACACATGTGTGCCCCTGTGTAAAAAAGGCTGTAATTAGCCCTGGACACATATCTTGTACTCGTTCCTGGGATTTGTTACTTAACATCTGATACGGGAACCATGAGTATACTAAAACCCATTACAAATATCAAGCTAATAAACTGCCCAGAAGCTATCATGTATTTTACTTGACAGTACAACCAAAATTAACTACTATTTCAAAACTATTTCCAATACACTGTAGGCCTACTTGTAGCTCGCTGTGTTTATGTAAAGCTTAGTTAAGTTATTTCTTTATTTTTACAGTCAACCGTCTTGATTTATGGGAGAAACAACTCTTTTAGCTTTACCCGGCACCAACGTTAAGCCGTGTTTACACCAGAATATTTAACCTGTGTCTAAAACAAAACTTTAGAACAATCCAAAGAATGCTAGTTATTTGTTGGAAACATGTTCAGAGTAATTAATGGGTTTTCAGTGTTACAGAAATTTTGTTTTCCACAGTAAGTTGGAAAAAATATGTTTACAGTCCTATTCTTAGTCCTATTTTCACCTGAGTTTACAAATAGTGCCAAACTTGAATAAAGTTAGCCACAGTTTTTGATTGTTGTAAACTCCATGTAAAATAGGCTTTAAAACAGTAGAGGCGTTTAATGACAAACCCCTTGATGTATTAAATAAATATAAGGTGTAAGTTTCCCAGAATGTGGATTTTACAATGTTAACAGTGATACTCACCCGCAGAAAATCCAGATGACCAGTCCATTTCCGACGAGAGCTATGATCATGAAGAAGACATAGATGAAGCCGAGCATGTAGTGTTGCATAGCTTCCGGAGCCTGGTACTTGAGCCAATGCTGGGGAATGTGGACGAGCTCTTCCGTAGGGACGTTCCAGCCCAGCATACGCGGTCCTCCTCCCAGACCCATCCTGGAATTGAAATATGGGATGTGAACAGCTTAGGAGTTGAGATGGTATAATTCTGAGCTCTTATTTATTGCAATAAAATAACTTTATCCCACTACTTTACAAGACAAAAATATTTTGCATAACATTTTACCTATAGTCGGGACCACATAAGTTTGCAGTTGGTGGCAGCCAATCACAAGACAAGGCTAGTGCGACGTTGCCACATCGCCCGTTGACAACACTAATTAAAATATACAAAGCAATATTTTTAAATCAATGGTATTGTTAGATTTGTCAACACCACACGGTTCTCATTACACCTGCAAACTTAGGTGGTCCCGACTGTAGAGGATGGAATAGATGGAATTGGAATATGTTTGTTATTTAATATTTTCTAACATAAATAATCATTTTTTAAACTGTAAGGGTGAACCTCTCCCAAAAACGTTATATTTTTGCAATCATCTGAGTGAGGTACAAAGCACCAGATAGGAAATATTTTAATTTTGTTCATATAATTGAATCAATAATTGAGGGCTATTACTTCAAATTGGTCTTTTGACTGTGTTTATTGTATTAACACACATCCACTACCAACTATCCTCACCTCCCAGAGAAAAAGGAATATATGACAGCTCGTAGGGAACATATTCAACTAAAAAAAAGTAATCTTATATATGGCTTTGTTTTAACCTTGAACTAATGCACAAGCCCAGACAATTACTGACATAAAATAATACTCATATTTAGAACGTCATTATGTACCACTGCAGAGGCTTTTGCGTGAAATAGTTTGGAGAAAACTGGCTTTATTGAAACAACTAGTATGTAAAAAAAATATTTAAAAATACACACACCGCAGCAAACCTGCCTGATTGGATTTTCAATTAAATTAATTTAAATAACATTAGGTTTAACCTACGTTTGCTGCAACAGGGATGGTAATAATGTGTGTTTTTAATAAAATATAGCTTAGTATAAAATGTATAAAATTTGCCAAGTTTTATCAAAATATTTTCATAAAAAAGCATACTAAAACAGTTTCTCCATAAAATAACATGGGAATTTTAAATTAAATTTTTTTCAATTTCCTCCGAAGCCAATGGAGGAAAAAGGAAATAGGAAGGGGAAAACCCTTCCAAATACAGAATCATTTTTTTAAGCGCTTTAAAATAATTTAAAAAAAATCGGGAAATTTTATGTTTTGGGGGTCAAAAATTAGAAAAAAATCAATTTTTATTTCGTTCCCATGGTCCAATCATGCTGGTTTGCAAACTCATCTAAGTTTATCCCACCCTACATCTTCAAGCCAAATTTCATCCAAATCGTACAGTAATTACTCAAGTTATCCCGTTCACCAACTTATATATAAAATACTCCTGCTGCACCAAAACCTGCGGACTAAGCTAATTTCCATTTGCCTGGATTGATTTTCAATCAATCTATTAAATTAACATTTATGTTTAACGAGTACCTAGCTTAGCTGCTACAGGGAAACTAATAAAGTGTGCTTACTAAACTAATATCTAGTCTTAAATATCTAATAGCTTAGTATGAAATAAATAAATTCGCCAAGTTTGATCAAATCAAAATATATCCATAAACAAGCCAATTACAACATTTTACAATATTCTCCATAAGAATAACATGGGAATTTTAAATTAATAATTTTTATTCTGTATCCTATTCTCATTGTCATAAACTGTTCCGCCCTTTGGTTTACAACCTGTCTGTGGTTAAACATTTAGCTGTTAACACACACACTCCCGCATGGTGCTTGACAATACATACAGCGGAGTGTGGGGGGTGCGAGAGATCGTGTTAAATTACAATTCACATTTAAACCGTAGTTTTGTCAGCATCACTTCATGTTTGAAAGTGAACTCTAGAAATTAAACACAAGGGCGGCGAAGCCCTACTGTAAAGGAAATAATATTTTTCACTACCCTTCGTCCCTCCGCTAGATCATAAGCTTTAAAATGACAAAACAGTCGTAATAATAGGTTAAGTAGGACGACTGAAAAAGGGATGTTACAGACAAAACCCTTATTGTATTGAGTATATAGAAGATATGTAGTTAGAAGATTAAAGACAAAAATCTGTACTAAACGAATACACAGTATCTATGATATGATTAAGTCGAGGTGGTTTCTGTGTGTGTTTGTTCTGAGTGAAGGCAGAAATTACTAAACAGACTGGGATATGTTACACAAAAGGTATTGAACACATCCAACAGATAAGAACTGCGGTTCTTTTGTTCGATATTAAACAAAGTACTTTAGTTATAGGCTTGGGAGCAATATCATTTTATTCCTTCTAGATCAATTCTCTAGAAGAATTTCCCACAAATTTTCAAAAGTTTAAACAAGTTATCTTTGGAGACCTTTATAATTGAGTGGAGCGAGCGAGGCTCTCTTAGACCGGACCATATGCAAACTATGTAATCAGAATTAACTCATTAATGGCTATTTAATACAAACTTTCCAGAGTCATTTTGACAAACAGTGTTCATGTTATAAAAGAAACAAATTTCAATTTAAAAATATCTGTACTATTTAAAACCAACATTATGTTTTTAGCATCAGCCTTTGAGTTGCCATGATGGTTACGAGATAACATCGTGGATGTAAACAAAGAATCATAGCATTGTTGGCAAACTAATATACAATCTAAATACAGCACAAAGGAAAAACCACTCATGTGACAACCTTTGATCAAAGAATAAAGAGAAAGTATTACAGGGCATTTGGAAACCACCACTGTTTTTTTAAGAGGTGCACTATTTTACAGATTTTTTTGCGGTAATCCTAAAATGCTATGGGAAGGAAGTGAAATAGGACCACGACGTAGGTCAATGACGTTCATCATTAAACGCTTTTATAATTAGTACTTTTTTTAATTCAAATTTTATTTAGAATAAAAGATTATTTTTTAACTATTTTGTTCACTATGCTCAATTGGCGGACCTGAGACCGCACACCTAGTACGTAATGTTATGAAAAACTTAGTTATCTTTGAAGACCATGACATTATGAAGCATACTAAATTATTTATTATTAATTAATTATTGAAAATTAATCATATTTTAAAAAATCTGGGAAACACTATGGTACATAGAAATAATATTGAAATATTTAAGCTTTGGACAGAAATCCTGTAAATCTGCATTTACAATACAATATGTGCTTACTCAATTAAAAAAGGATAGTCTTGATGAGCAACCTGATTAAATACAAACTCTTTCTTTCACTTACTTGGTCTGAGATACACAAGCTATGTAGCCTTAATAAAGAGTGTCATTGTATCAGGACATATAAAAAAATTTTTGTGTGGTTTGTAACTGAAGTAGACATACCTGGCCATAGCCACAGGGGAGGAGAGGTTGTAGCTGGCCCCATCGAAAAACTCCATGGCTGCCGCTGGACTAACGGATTCGGATGTTGTCCGTGGATATAAAACATGGATCAGCTGATCCTGTTAGCAGCTAACGTTGTTAGGGTTAACCCTGAGTCAAGGACGGATTACCCCCCTTCAGCAGAACTTTGTTAGCCATCTGTCAATAAACTTTCAAGGTTCTTTTAATTCATTAACCTAGTATAGAATATGTTTAAGATGTTTTAAGTTCATTTTTTGTGATGGTAAGATTTTGTTATAAAAGGGATTATTGTGTGCGTTAATTTTCCATCACGATAAGCAAAATCTTATTGTGAAATATACTTATTACCATTTCATGCAGGATCGTTAACACCTTTCCGTAGAGTAGCGTACGATACTTTACGCCTCACTACTAGTAACAAATATACAGGCTGAGTAAAACACAACTTATTGACAACCTACTTACAATTACTGCATTATTTTACATACACTATTTTAAATGAATATCCAATTTTTAAATCGTAACGTTTTACCTTGCCAATATTTATTGTGAAGTGGATGTTACTGATAAAACCCTTACTGCTTTTTAAGTGTTATATTTTAGTGAAAATACACTACGTGGGTATTTTTTATTTATTTATAATGTAGCATAGCATGATTTATGGAGCTAATAGAAGAAACTCATATTATACATCCTTGAAAAAGTGCAGCTAAAACAAGCCATTTTTTAATTTATGATCCACAAAGAATACAAAAACCAGCTGCTTACAGCGTAGTGTTGGAGGAAAATTATATTCACTTGAATATAAGGATATTGGGGGGTTCTGATATGAGTTATAACCATTTATAATTATTTCTAGTAAGACTGATTGGTAAATAGCTATTTGTGTATTAAGAGCGAAAAGTACGTCATTGCCGCTTGAGAACTGTAAATGGCTGCACGAAGCTTAGTTGAGTGTGACCATACATTCCTAGAGCGGCAATGACCGTTTGTGCTCGTAATACACTCAACATTTTTCCTACCACCTTCATTAACTTATAATAACACACAGATTAACTTTTAAGGTATATGAAATGTCGTTTAAGTTATTTTTGCTTTCTTAAAGGTTATGTTATTTCCTATCGGTTTTAACTAACTTACCGGATCAACGGCTGTGTTTGATCTAGAAACGACAACAGGGAAATCATTCCTGCTCTAGAGCGGCAATGAGCTATTTTGCGTACTGTTTACATGTTTCTCTATGTGATTATTTCCATGCAGTGGTAGGAAAAAAAATATCTTCTTAAACTAAGCATTCATAAAAAAAAAAATTACAAAGTATGTATTCAAAGCAATATAATCATATTTCTTTGAACAGCAGATTCAGATCAGCAGTATTGGGTGGTTTAAAAAAATGTATTGATGTAAGTAAACGTATTGTACAGTAGAACCCCGAATAACCACAATAAAGGGGGGAATGCCGTTTCAGATAACCTATCCTATGCTAAAAATAGCCAATGTATTACCACGGTGTGTAGGAATATTGAATGTAAAACAATGTCTAGGTGTTTTATTTCAGCGACAAAAATGTTACAATGTGTTTAAAAAGCCCCTTTCTAGAGTTTAGATATTACGTACTGTACTTATATTTTAGCCCTGTGTTCATTCATTTATGGAACCATTTCGGTTAATTGCGGTTCTACTGTACTACATTTTTGTTACATAATTCAACCAGCCTGTGTTTCACTTTCATAACCATTACGTTATTGAGAGAGAGCACAGGTTGGATTGACCTTAATCCACAATGATCTCCTCAACCAGTAAAACCTTCAATCTGACATCCATGAAGCCTTACATCCACAGTTGATAGAAACCCTTCAAAAGCACATTTAGAAGTATATGTTGAGAGTACAAGTGCATATGTATATGTAAACACAGGGTGTCCCGTAACTCTCTGGACACATGTATATAGTGTTATTGCTTAGGTCAAGACAAACACATTTCACCATAGGAACATGGGTCTGTGGTGCCTAGCTTTCTATCTGTCTGTATTTATGTGTTTTTTACAAAAAAATTAATAACTCCTACACGGTTTGAGATAAAGCGTTGAGATTTTTCAGAAATGTGTATTTTATTAAGACCTATCTTTGTTTAAAATTATACGGAAAGTAAATAAAAGAAACGTCTTATAACACTTAAACATATATTTACGCTTATACTGTTACTCACAAGACGGTAAATATACAAAAAAGGTGGTAAGTGGTGCTCGATTTCGATTGGACACTCCAATCATCATCAGACCCAATAGGCGAATTCCGCCTATCCTATGCTAAATAAAAAGTTGTAAATGCTAAGTAAGTAAATAAAAAGTTTTTATTTACTTTCCGTAAATTTAATAACACGTACAATGCTGATCAAGAAGTTATTTAAAATTATACTAAAAAATCATTAACCGTTTCAAAATGGCAGCCATTTAAAATATTTGATGCAAATTCACGAAAACCGTTAACTTTAAAAAAAAATTGCAAGAGACAAAAAAGTTAGTAAATTTTATGCAGTTTTCAATGATACCTTTTTTGTTAGGGATGGATAAATAATAACAGAGAAATGTATTCTTTCCCAAATGCATGACCACTTTTCTCCATTTAAACAATGCTAAAATACTCCATTTACATTGTCTAAATATCTTTACACTAATCTGTTATACGTCAATCAGGTGTTTTAAAACATAACAGCTTATTCAATCATTTGTTTTTGTTATTTATAAATATATCTTGTTCTTTGTTCTAAGTAACATTAATCTTTCTTTAAATAAATTTTAAATTTTAAAGCGTTGATAATGTTAACATTTTTTGTAATTATTAAATTCAATTAATTGGACAATACCTTATAGTACTTCTTTATCTACAAGAGGCCTCCTTTACTTACAATGAGGAAGATTCTTTACTTATAACAAACAACAAAGTATACTTATAAATAACAAAAACAAATGATTGAATCAGCTGTATAAAAAAATACACCAGAGGTATTTAGACCTATGGTAGTAGCTTATTCACTATACAGGAAATTGAGGAAATTCACTGAAATGGTGTGTGGGGGGGGGGGAGAAAAACAAAATAACAAAAGTTTGGCATTTTGACATTTTAATATAACTAATCAACAACTACTTTAATCTGTAGCAAAATCAGGAAAATACCATTTCTAAACAGTGAAAATATATTAATATTAACAGCATTCAGTTAGAAACTTCCACAGCCTAAGTATTTTCAAACAGTGCAATCAAAATTTTACTGAGAGTGAAAATCAATGAAACCACAAACCATGGTAAACAAATTAGCCAGAGTAGGCTACTATTCACATTAAGAATGACATCTAATCTAAATAATTAGATTTTGTAACACTTAAAAATAATAAAAAGATACTGAGTACAACAAGGTACTTAAGTACAACCCTTCCTGGATTTCTTTAAGAGACAAAGAATGTGATACTTTCAGCACACCTACTTCTACATAAAGTACAAGCTGCCAAACGCACCCTAAATTAATTTCATATTTTAACTCACAACAACTTAACTAATAGGCAACGTCTAATTTATCATCAAATTCAGTTGATATACATTAAGTACTGTTCTTAAAAAGAAAAGCCTGCAACGTAAAATGCAATAAATTCTAAAGAGAGAGAATTTAATATTCAGTAATTAGTAAAAAACAACACTTTGTGGTCCGATAATGATGAAATAAAATACCAATAAATAGTAATAAACGTTAAACCTCTGAATATAATAAAAGGGTGGGTGAGGTGAGAATTTTAAGTAGGACTTTTTATAACTGTTCTTGTATGACAAAAAGTTTACAAAAATAATTGAATTTGGTATCACAATGATATTTACTTAAATATTTTTATACAAATTCAAGGACATTCACAAATAGTTTAGCTTAAGCGCCCTTTTTTTGGTTTCAATATAGCCCCATCTATTCTACAAATGCTTGCAATCAAGTTGATAGCTTTACATAAAATCTCCATCCTTAATACCACCGGTTCAAAAGCGTCGAGGGAATCAGACTTCTGAGATTGTAATGCAAACAGACTTTGACAAACAACATCGACAACTTCAGCATCCATACCTTCTAAGCATTTAAGGTTCAAATGCTTCAGTAAATTGGCCTCTTCAGGAAAAGGTTTCCTCCAAGCCATAAGCTGGTCCCTAGATTTTACTGGAGGAAGTCTTTTACTATCGTCAGACAAATTAAAAAGTTTTTTAGCCAAGGCAAGTTCAAAAAGTCCACCAGCAGAAACAGTACAATTAGATTTTTTAAAACTAAACTTCAACATTTTTAAACAGTCCAAAATTCCTTCAGCATATTCAGAGGCAAGAGATTCACTGGGTGCTTTCAACAAAAGTTGATGAATTGGCAAAGAAATCCATAAGAAATCATTATCAGGTTTGCATTCTACAATAATATTATCTTGTAACGAAAGTTCAAATAAAAATTTAGCAGTGTCTGAACAAGTAGCGTGGATGAAAAAAACATTCTTAATGTTTAGCAGATACTGTGCTCGATCTTGAAGGAAAATGTTGGTCACAAATAGAACATTTTTGGATTCGTCTTTAAGTATTTCTGTAATGTCCATTTCAACTTCCCCATCTTCAGGAGATGTTTCTAAAGAGTGGTAGTAAACTTTGAGTATACTCTGCACTTTAGTCTGGGGAAACCTTTTAACCCAATGTCCTTTAATAAGTAAACCATCTTGTACACAAGACAAACTGACTGGAAAAGGACTGAATTTAGGGCAAAGTAGTGAGAAATATTCCACATAACGATCTATATCACTAATCGAATCGAGTTTTGAAACTAAATTACTCACCAAAGAGGCAAGCGTTTTAGAAACAACAGGTGAAAAGCGAGTGGAAAAAAACGTTTTAATCACATTGTTCAACTTGTCATTTGTTAAAACACAACTGCAAGTGGTCGGAAAACTTAGAGACAGCTGAGTCTGTAAAACTAACAGTTTATATACAAAGGAAGCATTGAATGCAACTTTTTTCAATAAAGCTTTAACGAGTATCACAAAACTCTTGACACCATCACCGGCAACGTCGTGTAGGTTGTTGGCAGAGTCCAATAGTAGAGATAGGACGGGGTTTGGTCTCAGGAACACCAGGTTCAAGATCAGGCTTCCGGAGCGAGTGATAGTGAGTCGAGTGGGCGACTGTGCGAGGACTGCTCGTCCATCTGGGCCAAACGAGGAGTAAAGAGCTGTCCACATCTCCTCGCTGGCTTCCACAGCCTTCACAATCACCTCGTCCTGGATAACAGAAACTGCAATGAAGTAGACCTACATTGATCCCAAACCCACACACACATTGACCCATTTTTGCGTTGGATAAGACAAAAATGTTAGAGTACCTGTAACTAAGATAGATGAATTATGCAGTTCACTTACCTGACTATAACCTGCCATTTCGCTCGACTGAGTCATCTGACAACATCCACGCAGGTTGATACTTCTGTGAACCATCTGAGTCTGTGTACAAGAGGCTGGGATTTGGCCGTGTGTTGTCTTTGTTGCCTAAAGAAGTGTACCTGGAAACCACATATCAGGTTATATGTATTGCTTAATGTAAGAGGGGGAGGGTGTTGAAAATGGAAATCATAAACCTTATGAAATCTTTTGTTTTCTACGGAGATATCGTTTTAATGTATTTAGTCCACTTTTTACTGATTGGAATTATTTGGCTTGAACTAGAACCTAATGGAAACAATGAATTAAATTTGAAGATACTTATACTTACTCAATTAGATAGTCTAATGCTGTATGACAATTTGTGTTTGATGCAAACCCAAAGAGCAGTTTTGACGTAAAATTACTGCTTAGATGATAATCTTGGGTGGCATAGAATAACCAAGATTGAAGCTAGGTTTTAGAATCAGTGCTCCAGTAGTCTGAGATTTACCCAAATTGAAGACTTTAACATCATTTTGAGTGTTTTTCATCTTCAACTCCCTCAAATTCTTCTTGAACTCAAGTTCCATAATTTTTTTCTGATAGAACGATCTCGGGTCATTTGATTTTTTTTTTACCAACTTCTTTGCCTTTTTATACCCTCTAAGAAACAACTTTCTCTTCCACATGTAAATTAAAGAGGCAATCAAAGCGACCGATGGAATCAAAGAGATTGCAAAGTAACGAATCAACTCAACCTGAGAATCGTGACCGACTGCCACAGCAAAGTTGGGATCGTGATACACATTACAGTCAAAGTGTTTGCCAACCTTTGTAAACCTCTCAAAAAATTGTGGACAAGTTAACTCAAAATTAAAGCCACATCCGAGAATATTTGCAAACAGCGGCACAACAGAAGTAACATTATAAGACTGATACTGCACTAAGACTTGAGTACAATTAGGCCTCGGGTTGGTACAACTGGCCTGGCAAGATGTCCATGTGGATGAACAGTTGGTAATGCCCAAAACAGTCACTGTGCTATGTACTTGACAAACAGCTGGATCAAACGGTAAACTAAGACTGAGAAAGAGAGGCTGTGACACCACAAGCAGGCAAACCAACATAACAATCGTCAACAAAACCACTAAAATTCCACAAAGCTGACTCTCCATAGCTTCCAGTTTAGCTCTCATTTCCTGAGTTCTATTTTGAACACATTAATATAAAATGCAATCTGCTAATTTACTTATTCCTCACACCGATATAGAAAAAACATAAGTTCACTAAATACCTTAAGGAAGACAGTAGATTTTTACACTTTGAAACAAACTCACATTAACTCAAACTTCAACTTGTGCTAACACTCTGAGAGGCATTCTAAAGCCTTACTCCAGGTTATCAATTTTTCACGATTCTATTCATTCACAATGAGGCAATTCACTCACGTACACTCATTAATTACAAGCTAACATCAGCTGAATTAGCATGTTAAATATTCACTAAATGTCTCTTGTCACAGAATGGCGAGAATATTTTATTTGTGTTTTCTGCCTTTAATTATCAAATTGACCAAATTTAAATGTTGTAATAATTGATGTACATTTTTATTCTAGTATTTGCTACAAAAATTCAATTTAATAAACATAAATTTTACTTTCTCCCCCTGTACAACAAAATCGAGGTTCTACTGTACAGCAGAACCTCGCTAATCCATTACCTACGGGACCACAAGCATAGCATGGTCGGAACAGCAAAACATCATATTATCAGAGGAAAGTGTTTATTGACATAAAAACATAGTAAAACTGTATTTTGAACGAGGAATATTCAATATTGTACTAAAATTGTTCAGCAATCTAGAAAACTAAAGAAGGGCCTAAATAATTGAAAATATTATTAGGCCTAATTTATCACAGTACAGTAGACTCCCTCTAGTTCGGCTACGGTTGGATCGGCAGCCGGATGGTCCTGCCCGGTTCAGGGGTATAAGTCATATCGTCACGGGCGAATGACCTTCGACAGGATTCAACTTAAATGTTTAGTTTCTGGCCATAGAAGTAAACAATTCATGTCAGTTTAGTTGACGGGTGCTTCTATGGGTGAATTGTTGCATATTACCCATGTAAAACTATGTTACATAACCTCAAAAATACCAAGAACATTTTATAAATAGTTTTTCTTCAGTCTAATATGTTTAAATGCAGTGGTTGTTATTAAATATTTCGGACCATTTTTTTATGCAGTAGGTTCCCCCATTATTGTTTTTGAAACACCACGGTTTATTTGACAAAAATAAATTAAAGCAAAACAAAGAAATAGCCATTGTTAGCTTCAAGGTCAAGCTATCCGCTTGCACTGACAATCATCTGCTCTTTACACAACTGTCTGCTGCGCTTGCTATCTCACAACAGTTTGTGATTGGGGTATTAGTAAGCATGGCAACTTGTTGAATGTGTAAATGAAGAGAAACCAAAGAATGAATAGAAGAACAAAGAAGAAAGAATAAGTGGTGTTTTAGGCCAGTTTGTTATCTTAATCCTATTTTACGACTGTCGTTATTATTTATCTTTGCGAGCCGGGTGCGCGGGGGGAGAGCGGTACCAATCTCCCACCACGCAGCCAAAGTTTCCATAGCATTGGTCAGACTACGCTTTCTAAAAACATTCGACCAGCGCTGATCGCGTTGTTTTCCTTTTTTGCGTACATTTTTATAGAATTTAAATTTGAATTTAATTCAAGTACCATACAATGTAATTACTAAGGGTTCTATAATATTGTTTTGGTACTGCAGTAGAGTATTTTATTTTGATATAACATTTTTTTTTACTTATTTAAATGTACACCAAACGGTAAAATCATATTACGCCTATATTCCAATTTAATTGTTAAGTTTGACTTTTTAGGTGCAAATTATTAACTTTAATAGTTAGAGTTTATAGACGATATCTTAAGATATAGTATTTTATGTAAAAACACATACAGATATACCTATGAACAGAAAACCATAAGGCTTAGTACATTTAAGGCTTAGTAGTCATTATGGAAACTTTTGCTTATTTTCATATTATGTACAATAAATAACACCTTAAAATATCGGACGGGTTTTCCGAACACCCTTTAAAACGGTTAATGGCTTGCAGTTATTTATTTTATACTTGCTATACTTTATACTTACTACTTTTTTAAACTTGATAAAATGAAAGTCAGTCTCTTAATGTTAATGTCATACGTAAAGTATTTTATGACCGGAAGAGTATTGTATTCTATCGTGTTCTATCGACTGTCAGTTTATTGGACTGTGCTGTTTAGATGAGTAGTGCGGTTGAGTAATTATTGAGTGATTGTTAAGCCGTGGGTTAAAAAAGTGTCAGGCTAGGCTAACATAGATTAATATCATGCAAACCGCCCGTAAAAAAGGGCAAACCATTCACAGAGAAGCGATGGAAATATTATAAGACCAACAGGTGCCGTGTGTTGGTGTTACGCATCCGCTGGGAGTAGAAGTAGTATAGACAATATTTTTAGGGCGACTAGTAGCAGATCGCCAATCGCCCGGCTGTGGTGGGGGCCCCTCCTGGTGGAAGGGCCACGCGCAAACATGAGCTTACAGTAGACTTTCTATGGTTCTGTTCTTTACGTGATTTATTGCTGTACGTACAGTGTTGTGTAATTTTTGTTTTGCTTGAGTAAGAGTGATTTATTTAAACGTTACAGTTTTTATTTCTGAACCAAGGTTAATGACTTAACATATCACGATTGCGCAATACTACTATTTGTATTTTGATTATGTAAAATGCAATTTAATGATCACATTAACATCCATTTTAAACAGTATTAGGACATTAGGTGTTTTATGGATATGTAATATATGTTTACGCCATGTTGGATTAACCGTGGTTTTCAGTTATCTGTAGTCTCCCCCCCCCCCCCCCCCCGCATTACCCTCGATAATTGAGGTTCTACTACATCCGGTTAGTCCGGCCGTTTTGTAGTCCGGCCAGTGGTCCAGTCCCGAGGTGGCCGAACTAGAGGGAGTCTACTGTAAATCACAAAAATAATATATCAGAGTGTTTACTACATTCTGGATAAAACATTCATGGACAATTCCGGTACATTTAAGGACACTTTGTCGTAACCTGTGTTGTGCGATTACCGAATATACTTTCCTGATTAGTCAAACTGTATTAATTTTGTTCTTCACTGAAGTTGTACCAGACAGAAAAGTAAATAATAATAGTCAAGAGTTAAATTTCAAAATATAAATTTATTGAAAGTAAAACAACATATACTTTAGGTAAAGCTTTGTTATGGTGTAACAGAGAAACGCAATCATCGTCTTCCGCGACAGCGACAAAATCCTGAATATCTCCATCGGTCAGAAAAACATTATCATATCATATCCAATCTAGGCAAATTAATTTAGCATGATTCACCCTAGCACAACGTTAAGTTCTCTACTTTTAAAAAAAAATTCTTAAATTCATATATTGTAATTTAGTTTTTGGTACAAAATCAGTACGGTAAGCGGCTACCAGTAAGCACAGAATAAGATTATTATCTTTTCATTTGCAAAGTTAAAATTTTTTTTTTTACAATGAGGTTATGTTACGTAATTTTAGAGCCATATATTGACCACGGTTGATTCGCCCCAGGTTAATCTAGGTTCTACTTAAAAAAAGTAAATGCAAACTCACACTACTACACCAAGGGTCATTGTTCTACTGACTGAAATACGCACTGACAATATACAATGCGTCATTGACAGGAACCAACCTGAACGGAATGATTCACAGGAAATGTAAACAGAGATAAATTTCCGCTAGAATGGTTGGACTAGGCGAGGAGGAAACCCCTCCAAGGTTGGACTAGTGGAAGACTATTGTGTCACAGCACGGTCAGACCAAGATAGGAGTCGGACCATCTGAGGCCGGAATAGCGAGATTCTACTGTACTGTAGCTTAGCATCTACAAAATATGTGAGAGTAACAACTTTTATTAAAATCCATGTTTTAGCCCCTGAGCTGTATAATAACTATTATTATTATTATTATTATTATTATTATTATATAGTATTAACTGTATAATAACAGATTAGTTGATAGACTGATAGCTAAAAAGAAAAACAAAAGGCCAGGAGATAATAATCTACAAAAGGAAAAGAAAAAGTATGTATGTGGGGAATACTCCCATTCCATTCAACACACGCTCACGAAGGAGCTGAAGAAACTCGACATTCAATTGACTTTTAGGACTAACAACAAAACAAATTAACAAATTGAATGTTTCAAGTGGCGTAATTGATAAAGGTAAAAAGTAGGGATGGACGGGATTGAATTTTTGGTTCGGGACGGGACGGGACGGGATGTTTATTTCCTTCCTGATTTTCGGGACGGGACAGGACGGGATTTTTTTTCTATGCATAAAAAGAAAGTCTTGAGTATTGCAGTTACCAAAAAAGACATAAGAAATCAATTTTTACCGTTTGTGGCACTGATCTATAAAAACCAAAAAATGGGTAACAATTTACAGGTACCTATAGAAACTTGTGACTCGTGGTCGAAATGACTCGCGGTCACGGGGTGATCGTCGGTATGACTCGTGGTCACGGGGTGATCATCGGTATGACTCGTGATCACGGCACGATCGTCGGCATGACTCCGCGGTCATGGCGCGATCGTCGGTATGACTCCGCGGTCACGTCGTGATCGTCGGTATGACTCCGCGGTCACGGCGTGATCGTCGGTATGACTCCGCGGTCACGGCGTGATCGTCGGTATGACTCACGATCACGGCACGATCGTCGGCATGACTCCGCGGTCACAGCGCGATCGTCGGCATGACTCCGCGGTCACGGCGCGATCGTCGGTATGACTCGCGGTCACGGCGTGATCGTCGGTATGACTCGCGGTCACGGCGTGATCGTCGGTATGACTCGCGGTCACGGCGTGATCGTCGGTATGACTCGCGATCACGGCACGATTGTCGGCATGACTCCGCGGTCACAGCGCGATCGTCGGCATGACTCCGCGGTCACGGCGCGATCGTTGGTATGACTCGCGGTCACGGCGGTGGGATCGTCGGTCCAATAATCGCGGTCACGACACGATAGTCGTTATGACTCCGCGATCACGGCGCAATCGTCGAAATGACTTTGTCTCCTGCTTTCACGGACCTATCGCTCGCAATAGCGGCGTCATCGGCACTCGCGAAGCGGCAAAATCGCCGACGATCAGACCAAATCCCGTCCCGAAAAATTCCCGAATAAAATGTTATCCCGTCCCGATAATCGGGAATATTTTTTTCCCGAAAAATTCCCGAAATTTTGGGACCCGTCCATCCCTAGTAAAAAGTCAGGTGTGTATAAGATTAATTGTGCAAGTTGCCCGAGCTACTACATAGGAAAGACTGGACGTTCATTCAAAACCAGATACAAAGAGCACCGTCCATTTCCTAGAGCCGACAAACAAAAGTCATCGTTTGCACAACACTTGGTTGACAAAAACCACGACATGAACGATCTGAACACTGGCTTAGAAATACTCCACACAAGTAAGAAAGGCAATAGACTGGACACCCTAGAAGAGTATGAAATTTACAAAGCTTACACCGAAAATAATTTGGACGATATAATTTTAAACGACAAACTACAGTACAAGTCACACTTCATATTCAATAGCATTTTAAATCAGAAAAGGAACAAGAAGCCAGGAGTACAAAGTTCAACTGATAACGCCACCACACCGGGCTCGACATAGAAATCTTCCAGTCGGTTTTTGCTCGGAACGGGAACATGTCACCCGTTAGTACGACAGGCCTGTTCGGTTTTTGTTAATATTTTTAATGTATATTATTGTTCGTATGTGTTACGTGTTTAAACTTCAACGACGCTACTTCAGCCGTAGTCTGACGATGGCATTGTAATACCGAAACGGCCGTAACATAGTTACACCACAAGAATTTGAGCTGCAGTGACGAAGGTAAAGCCTATTTTTAGTAACAACTTTTCCTGCGATTTTTTAATTTTAGGAATTGTGAAAATCACGGATCACTAAATAGACAATGCTTCTACTCACCCTTGGTCATAGAGAGAGCAGTAAGGTGCTGCGATGCCCCGTAGGAAGGTCCAGATATCCTGGTAGCTCCAATCCAACAGAGGGTTGACTCTCATCACCTGGGTCCAGTCAGGGTCTGTCATCTGAAAGTACGTCATCTCATAGTGAAAAAGTTACTATGTTGTAGTATGGGCAAAATGTCTTGTACAGTTGAACCTTTTTAGTAAGAACCTCAGTAAAATTAATTCCTCGATGAGAACATTTTTTTTAATCCCCTTGAAACTGTCATAATGGTCAACGCTAAAAACATCTCTATGCAACATAGTAATTAGGTTAAAAACCTCCATAAGACACATTTGTTTGTGACATGGGCTAAGACTGATTAACCTCTATACAACGAATATTCTACCTCTACAAGACGGAATCAACCTCTATAAGACAAATTTCTCATGATCTTAACCTTCATAGTACATAGTTTTCAAAACAAACAGAAGCTTGTCTCAACATGAAACCCCCACATTCCCTCTTCCTTTCACAGTCATTGTTTGGCACGTGCCAAAAACCTCCATAAGTGGAATAAAGGCTGTATTAAACCTCAATAAGACGAACCTTTTATTAAGAATACATCGATAACACAAATTTTTCCCATACCCCTTGAAATTCGTCTTATAGAGGTTCAACTGTACTGTAAATCATGTAAATAGTTTCCTATTTGACACAACTCTCACTGTAAGACCTAGAATGTATTGTTGACTTTGGCCGCTTAAGCCTACAAATGAAGTTGTTTGCATACTTAAACACACATTTTATTATAACTTTACTGAAATTAGGAGAAAAGTTTATATATCTTCTAAATTTTCAATTATACAGTACCGGTAGTCATTTATCACACTGAAAAAGTACTTGACCTCTATGACTAAATCCTTCAATTTGGCAACACAAGTAACATTCTTCCTTTAGCTATCAAAAATTGGTTTTGTATTGGATGAAAATATGTTTTTTAAGTGTTTTAGTTATGAATCTTGAGTGGCCTGATTGTTCATGTGCATATGGATCATACAGTCATTGATGATGTATGTTAAAGAGTGGATAAAGCGACTGAAGCATACTCTGAGATAAGTATGAATGAAAAATGAGAGTGAGATTTGAAAGATAAATTTTAATTGTTGATGCAATTTTATGATTGCTGTGTTTTCACAGTAGGATTGCTGCGATTCTTTAAAATCCAGAGAAAAGTAGGCCACATTCTTTTTGTAGTATCCTAAAAAACCTACATTTATTCATAGGCTTACCTGAAAATCATTTAGGTCTTTGGAGTAAGGGTCAGTGCGTCTAGTTCCAAGGAAAATTGCTTTAAGGGAATTTTTTTCTTTCACTAGTACTTTTAAAGCTGACTTGATGGGTCCAGGTAGTGTAGTTAATCTGATTTGATACCTGTTACACATCAAACAAAGAATCTAATTATTAAAAAGCTTATGCTCGACAAACCAACAGCAAATAGTTTAGCAGGTAAGTTAAATACCATAGTATAGGCCTATTGTTCATTGATTTAAAAATATTATTTAATGTTGTTTCCTAAACTCCCCTCACAAAGGATAAGATTTAAAGTTCACAGCTCAATTTTAAAAATGAAACCTCACTAATACTAAAAAAAACTCAAAGGAAATTGGTAGGCTGAAATTTAGTTAATGGCTCAAAAATATGATTTATTGTTGAATTATGTATACAATTTATTGAATTTGAAATATTAAGTAGCCTTTGAAACCAACTATATTAGAACAGATTTCAGTGTTCTTAATAATAGCGCTGAGGAAGGAAAATTCTAGCTTCCTTACTTCAATTGATGACTAAAAAAAAATATTTTAACATAAAAGAAACAGTAAACTAAATACTATGGAAAAATGTCTAGCAAAAAAATACATATATTACTGGTTGATGTTTTCTGATTTACTAAAATAGGCCTAGACCACACCAAAATGAATAGACAAAAATAGCAAAAGCGTTTGAAACTGATATTAAATTATACTGTCATTTGTTGTGCGTAGGATCAAATCTTATTTAATGTTTAATCTGTACCTTAATTCTCTGTGCATAAACCTACATAAACATATTGTTTATGTAAAATGTTATTTAACCCTTTCAGTGCTATGAAACGATATATCGTTGTTTTAAAAAAACCCTAAGGGATATAGAGAGGAAGGTTATTTAAAAAAAAAAAAAATAGCAAAACGGTCATTGGTGACCTGCATGTTCATATGATACACTACCAACCACTAAGCTAAAAGATTCGCCCATTCCGATGATTTTGAGGTGTATGTCTAAACCAAGGATTATGAACACCTCACTATGCCCCAGTGGTTGTAGTATATCGCTACAAACACACAGGTCACCAATTATTTGCCACACAGGACGGGATTCGAACCCGAGCAGACGAATGCCACTGGCCAAGTGACACACGCCCTAGCCTTCTCGGCTATCTGTGCTTGAAGACTGGGGAGTCAAAACCCGGTATTTAAGCTGTCGCCACCGATTGCGAACAGATGGCGCTGCAGATGGTTGTTCAATGCGTTACTAGGTAGCAGCACCAGCTAGTCACGGACTATTTAGATGCAATCTTTTAGTTTTAGTAGTAGTAAATGTATTCCTGAGACTTTGCTGCAAAACATTAGTTTCCCTAAAATTGCTATATTACAATAACCTCGTCCAACTAAATCAGGGTTAAATTCAATATTACATTGTAAACTATATGTCTTTTGATTTTGTGAGATTTCGGTTTCAAATAATGCTATCAGAACATAAAAATTTATAGGAAAACCAGGAAAATTACAACAAAAACTAAGTTTTATTTTATGTTTACTACAAATACCGGGATTTATCTTTCTTATATATTTTCTTATTGTGTTATTATTCAAAATTAGCCTAATTAATAAAACGAGAGGTCGTCCAGTGGTCGAAACTCGACCAAAAATATTTAATGTACAGACTTCTTTATTTTCATTCCACACTTTGAATAGAACATGTGATTGGAGTTTCTTCCATTTGTTTTGATTTTCTGTTTATATTTCGTTGTTATTTCGTCACCAGCATGGCAACTCATAATATCCATGTTAAATTTTTCAAAATTTTAAATTCATTTTTTGTGCTTATTTTTGAGCCTATTTTAATTTATAAAGGGATTCTGCACACCTACAGGAAAATAGCTTTCTAACAGTATGCGTAGATTTTCCCTACGATGCACACGAGCTGAGAAAAAAGGTTTTAAAGAAACATGCTTGCCTATTAATATATAGATAGATAGTGACAACATGACAGTTAAAATTCAACAACGGGTAATGGAATTAAAAGGCAAACAAAAAAGTCTTACAAAATATGAATTATTGGCCTAGCACTGAAAGGGTTAATGAGTTTATTTATTGATTAGAAATATCTACTTTAGTACTATTTTGCGTAGTTGTTCACCTGTCAACAGTGTCTTTAATGAAATGCTCCACTTCTGGGAAGGGATTGGCGGGATGGAAGTAGACAGCTTCCAAAGGTTCTGAGATGTTCTTGTAATCCTTGACTGCCAAAACAATGTGCAGCAGCACGGTGCAATCTTTGCCTCCGTTGAAACTAACGCTTACTCCACTGGGCGAGTAGGTGTCGAACGCTTCCTCCACCAGCTTTGAGCAAATATAAAAGTATGTATCTTTATTTGTAATTAATTACCAGTGTTGTAATATCATCGTACGGTTGTATACAATTTTCTCAATAACTGACAATATATCGGGGAAATTTGTTTAGCGTTTGATACCAGCTGCAAACTATAGGTTATTGAAATTATATACAGAAAAGTGGTCTCTGTTAATTAATTTTGGCCTAGTTTAAATTGTAGCAGAGACATAAGTCCTGTCACTACGAAGCTAATTCTAGGTGTCATTCACAGTAGAGCTGATTTGTTTTGGTCGTTGAGACGAGCTATGTAACATATTAGTGTTCATAAAGTGCAATCATTAACTGTACGGCTCTTTGTTTCAGGCCAACAATCATATAGGTACCATAAATGATCAACAGCAATGTTTTCAAAACTAGACCGGCAGCTTGTAAGTAGACAGTATTAAAGCAAAAAAATACTTGCCTGGCTAATGTTTGTAATAATTTACTGTTGCAAATCAGTATCTCTTTTGTACCAAAATATGTCATTCAATATTTTAGAATAGAACTTCACAAATTCTAGCTATTGACATAGATTTGACAAAAAAGTAGAAAAGGAATCAACAGACCTTGTTGACATTAGAAATACTTCATTCAACCTAGGTTAATGTCACAAGAGAAAATACTGTTATAAGCTGTATGAGGATCTCTCTTTGTTTGATAATTCAAAACACAGATGGAAGGCTAGTGCAGCAGGCAGGTGTTATATTGATCACACCTGCAACTACTACAGGCCACCTGTCATTGTTACCATGGTTACGTGAAAACAATGTTATGTTGCCATGGCTATGTGAAAACAACATTTTTATTGATGTTATAATGTAAATCCAATATTTTACCAATAAATAAAACTCAATGTTATGACTCCTCTCAAACACTTTTTGAATTATTTCATTTTGTTTTTGTAATTTGTTTAGGGATTTAAAAATAATTATGCCATTGAAACTTAATTTTTGATTGTGAAGTTACTAACATAATAGTTTTTTTTTTATTTCATACTTATAAAATAAATATTTAACTTTGGTCATTTTTTAAAATCTTTATATAGTCACACATATGGGAGTGCAGTGCAAATGGAAAATGGCTGCGCTGTTGTACTAATCTGCCCCGGCAGATGTAGGGTGGATTCTAGTGATTGTTTAAGAGTCTAACAATGCCAGAGGTTTTAGTGGCAGAATTTCCATAAAAGCGAACTTTTGGTAAAATTGTTTGAAACTGTCTTTTAAGTCTGTAGACAGATGAAAAATAAAACAGAACTTTTTATTGTATTTCAAAGTAAAAATGTAGTTCACTCTAAATTACTTAAAAAAAATGCAAGGCCACGTTCTTGCCATTTTGACCTTTATCACTTAATAAAAAATAATATTTTATTTATCATAATATATTGATTTGCATTTTAATTGTCATTCTAGGCCGTATAGCCGTATTCATATTGTCAAATGAAGTAGATAATGAAAAAATAAATATTACCTGTTCAGTTAGTCTACAGTTACCCATAAAAATCGTACTTGGGCATTTTTTGAAAAATCTATTACCAAATTATTTTTAAAACTTTAAATAGTTATGTGACCTTTTCAGAATGCATTATAAAAATCAAACTGAATATAATCACACACCATTTAGAATAAAGTAAAATATAGTAGGTAACTTAAATTAATTGGTTAATAGCTTACAGCCACGGAACATTACCTTGATAGATTTGTTGAGAGTAGCAGCCAGTCGTGTGTCAGCGGTGGTCTGAAGGAACTTGTATACTGGGTGACTCATGGTAGGATTCTGTAGACAAGGAGCCAACCACTTGGGCGAGATGAGACTTTTGAAGTAATCCTCTGCCGCCTTGATTTTGTCCACGGACAACGCCTCTATCGTAATCTGAGTCTTGTACTTAGTCCCATCCCCCACCACTGGGTATGAACCAAACACACAATCTGTCATCTCTGTTACCGTTTTGTTTAAAGCATTAACAACTATCTCTTCTTCGACTGACAAGTAAATCCTACCAGTGTAAAACGAACAGCCCTGACTTTGGAAATGCTCTTTTTCCAGTGACGAAAACAGACTTTGCATGTACTGGGGGACTCCGGGAAAGATAAAAACATTTGCGATGTTGACGACAGGGAATTGGGTAACAAGTTGAGATTCCTTATCAATAAAAAACGGAGTTTCTGATTTCCCCCAGACTATTTTAGCAGTTTTTGGTACAGTTGACAGTGCGCGAACACTTTCAGAGGAGTTCTGATCTAAAATTCTGTTCCAAAATGCTTCCAGTAAGCTGTTGCACGCTACATCAGTTTGGAATCCCGCAGCGATTCCTCTATATGTAACGTCATCATGGGTCGGTCCGATTCCACCAGTTGTCAACACAATGTCATACCTTTTTGAAAAATCCTTTACGGTTTCAGCTATATCGTCAATGTTATCTTCCACCACTGATATTCTTGCCACTTTTGTCCCGATTGCTCGCAAGCGTTTACACATAAAGAATGAATTTATATCATGAACTTGTCCTTTCAAAATTTCATCTCCCACCACGATTATTCCTGCAGTTTTCCCTGTTACGGATGCCATGCTCGAACCTGCATTAGTAAACACTCCTAATTCCTCCAATTCCCTACATACACTAGCAAAAATGTTTAATGAGAGCATATTCCGGGTAAACAATGCAAAAAGTAAAAAATCTTGATCAACTCAAAACAGCATCAATTATGGTTAAATACCTCATTTGATAACCCATGATAACTTATCTAGTTAATTTAAAGTTTTTTTTTTTTCGGTTAAGATTGCCCTACAAATTATATTGCAATCTATACATTTGTGTATATATATTACATCTCTCACACAACTAAAACACAGCAATCAAATTAGGAGATATTAAATTCAAATTAAAAACAAATTAAACTGTAATTGACATAAAACCCCTTTGTCAAATGGAATTATTGTTATTATATAAGATTCTAAGTATTTCAAATAAATGAGAATCAATAAAAAATAAAAATAGATTTATTACGGACAAATGTACAATTTTGGTTTAGACTTCCATTTTGCCTAATTTGTCCAAGGCTTCTGCTGAGCTTTCCTCAGTTTTGTTGAACTTTTCGATTCTGCTCTTTAAGTCTTCCTTGGGTGGAAGGGAAGGTTTATTTTCTTGTTTCTGGGGCTGGGCTTGTCTAACTGTCTCTTGAAGCTCATTGAGAAGCTGATCCATTTCAACGGTTTTTTGTTTTGTCACTTCTGTCAGCTGTGAACAATTACATTTTGTCTTGAAAGGTCATCTTCATTAACCGAAGTAAAAAAATACGGGGGTGTTGAATAAGATACCTACTTTTTTCAACTGTGTGGAGACAGCTTTTGCCTTGTTCTTGGCTTTGAGGCTCCTTGCGCCAGCAACTTTGAATACATTTTTGCCTCCTTTCTGCTTTCCTCCTTTTCCCATTTTGACTTAGGGACCTACGGCAGAAATCCAGGAAAGTTATTTAAGCAATAACAATTTAGTTTCAGCAAAAAAAATTCTTTTTGATTCTTTACAAATGATTATAAAGTATTATGTACAAATTTACATGGCATGTATGAATGAAACTAACATTGATTTTATTTTGATCTCTTGTAAAGTTTGCCAGTTTCTTCAGAATCTAACATTCTTTTCTTGTCAAGTAAAATATTCTCATTCAGTTGGAAAGAAACCCTCATCATTTCTTTATTTGGAGCAACATTTCGTACAAATGTAATTTCATCCAGACTCTCTGTGATGGAGCAATTCAACTCACTTTCAACTAGTTCTTTTGCCATCTCTTTATAATTGTCGACTCCCTTGACAAAACAGTATACGTGAGTTAAGGGAAGGTATTTCACACTGGCTAAATCATCTGCAGAAAATAAGTTCCTGAAACATGGAAGAAAAGTGTGAGCGAGAGCAGGCAAGTTCATCACTATGTGAGATTTCACATTTCCTTTCTCTTGTAAAATGTGTTGCTTTATATCCTCTTTGATGAAATCTGCACCGTCTTTGTTGAAAGCTTTAAAGTTATTTCCAACTTTGTTGATTTTTGCATTGTGTTGCAGCCACTTGAAAGACTCCGGATTGAGATCATTAGCTAGAACTGTACATTTTTTCTTAGCCGCTGGGATTGAAAATGGCCCTACTCCTGCAAATACATCATAGAGTACACTTCCTGGCTCTAACCTATTTACTATCCTCTGATGCTCTGTGGACAGTCGAGAGTTCCAGTACACAGATGAAAAATCAAACTTAAAAGTTACATAATTTTCCTTGACTTCAGTGACAAAATTTGGTTCTCCAGCTAAAACCTCCATTTTGAAGACTCTGAAAGTATTTTCAATATTGTCTACTTTGTTTACAACTGTTCGTACTCGTTTGAGCTTGTCAAGAAGAACCTCTCCGATGACATACTTGTAATCTAGAAGGTGTTCCTTGAGATTCACATGGACTATATGTCCCACCATGGAATATCCAGAGAAATTGTTATCAACTCCCTCTGAGAGTGGCAACACTGCTTTAAGAATGTCGTCTGCAGTCCAGTTATCATATGACAAATTCAACGAACATGTCTTGAAATTTGACTCAGTAACCTCAAATTGTTCGAGCTTTTCTCGATGAGGCGGTTGTATGTCAGTAAAGCAAGATACTAGTTTGGGATTAAGAATTACTTCTTTCATCTCATTTGTTATGTCTCCTTCGAATGGTCTGATTGGCCCGAGAGCGCGCAACCGTAGCAAATATTGTTTAAAAATATCTTTCAAGGGTACGACCGACTTGGTCTTGACTAGAAGGCTCGGAACTGTAATTGTGCTGTTAAAAAGAGACCGATCGAGTTTTGTCATACCTCTAACTGACGGTGGGGGAACAAGCTCTGCCATTTTAACAAAATAAGGACGGCTTAGTACAGGAGAATAATTAGGCCCAGTATTGAAAAAAATGTACCCAGTTAGTAGACAATTCCACCTCACTAATGTCTTTGGTCCATTCATTTGGAGCAGTTTGAACAGTATCAACTTAAAAAACCATGGTTGAACAATGTCTTAGTGCAGTAATACACATTTCTGCTCCCACGTTGATAATTAAATCCCTGAAATAAATGTATGTTTCACTAACTATCAGCGTTCAATACAAAAAATTAGAAACAATTCTTTTGCACATAACTGCGTAGTTAGGGGCTCTAATTTTGTAACTTTCAACACTTTTTTATATAGGCTACCCTAGACTGAGGACTTAATTTAATGTGATGCTGTTTAAAGAAATGAAAAATTGGGCCTAACTTACCAGCAAGTAACAAACTTTAGGTGTTGGGTTTTTAACCTATTTAAAAAATTTATAATATGCCTATTATATTCTCTTTGATATACCTAATAGGCCTAAATATGTATTTGATTAATTCTGTTCTAGACCTAAATGGTAAATAAACTAACACTACGGATAAGTTATACTTAAAAAAAATGAAATACTATTCATATAGGCCTATATATATTTATTTATTCACGGATTCACCATTTTTGCCACTAGAACAATACCTACTGCAAGAATTGCTCAGACCAACTAATTAAAAAATAGGTAAAAAAAACAAACAAACCTAGACAGCTAACTATAACAAATTAAACTAATGAATCTAAAAGTTGGCCAAGACTAACATATTCCTACCTCATTATTTTTTTAACTTTAGTTTCAGCTACACACAGTTCAGGCACAATAATAAGACGGAAACTAGCTATCAACTTTCAGATTAGATAATCCCTTTTTTATGATTTTAAGAGAAATTTATTGATTTGAAAACATTTTATTTCTGATAAATGATTTTTTAGATTTAGCTTAAACAATAAATTATCAAGTAAACATCAGAACGGATGGCACAGTGCCGGTCGCTATCAGATTATTCAACTGACGTGATACTTAAACGATGATGAGTTGAATAAATAGAACATTAGGTTAGGTAAAAATTATTTTTCTAAATGTTTAATCAGGTACGTGAATAAATAAAGTAACTGGACTTAAACTGAGTAGGTTGTAAGTCTATAAAGAGGCCTAGGCCTGGTTATTGTTTACTAAAACATAAGAAATTTAGAACAAGTAACTTAGTCTTAGGCGCTTGATTTATAAATTTAAAATCTAAATTTTTAAACGCAATTAATTTTTATCCTGAATGTTACACTTCAACTGATAGTTTGATCACGTTATGATATGTTGCGCGTGAACGTAATAAAAAAATTATTGTACGGCCTAAGCATTACTAATTTTTTTAAGCTCAATTTCAAGACCATAAAATTTATAAAAAGCAAATAGTAGCCTATTAGGCCTAGGCTAGCAGTACTTAATTTTCCTACAATAAATAAACTACAAAACCCAGTAGGCCTAACATAAATATGAAATAGTTCTAGAGGTAAATTATTGGCTTAATTTTATTCAACCATCAGCGATGCATAAACAACAGACAGACAGTCTAATCCCTACTTGCGTTAGATAGTGCGGTAATTATATCGATCACAGATGTTACGTTAAAATAGTATTTTTTATACTATTTTGATGCTAAATAATGTCCTGAAATCAAAAATGACTGCGGTTTTCAACGGAAAAGTCAAATAAACATGGAAAATCAGAAAAAAAGATGTAGGCTAAATCTTTTTGTATCAAAACACACATTTAAGGTAGGCCTACAGTAATTAAATTGTGCAGAATTTTATGCTGAATATGAATATGTAATTTTTTTTTCAAACTATTAATATTAATATAAACACGCTATCATCGAAAAAGTGGGTGAAACGCCTAGGGTTATAAACAAAAATACCCCCAGCTCAACAAACCTGCAAACTAAGTGAATTTCAATTTGTCTGAATGGATATTTACTACAATATTTCCATAAACAAGACATATTGTCCATTTGAATAGGCTAGCATTACATTTAACGAGTACTTAAGGTTTGCTACTACAGGGAGATTTGTGTTAGCCTATAGCCTATGTTATTGTCCTTTAATATTGATTTTGTAATTATTGAGATCATCTGTTATAGTTAGTTTTTTTGTTTATACTGTACTTGGAATTCAGTTTAACCTTTATTCCTAAAATAAAAGTTGTTACTGTAATACGTTGTAAAACTTCATTATTTGACATGGTGGCAGCGGTTTTGTTTTTTAAAATGCCAAGAAACTATAAACCATCCATAAGTAAGTCAAACCAATCACCAGAAACACTAAATGTTCTTTTTTTTTTTAAAAGAGGTTGGCGGCCTCTTTTAACCTTGCATTTGCCCGTCCACATAGACTAAGCGCCCGTGCGTGGATCGTTAACAGCAAGGCAAGGAGTGAGCCGGTACAGTACAAAGGTAAACTGTAGGCCCACTGATAAAATGTTATCGGCAGTGACCAGGATCCGAACCCACGACATCGCTGCCTTGGGCCCGAAGTCCGCGACACTACCGACTGAGCCACCGACTCACTAACTAAGACTGCAAAATAGGACGTCGTAAGTCATGTTTCAGCCTCCTGAACCTTTTGATTCCAAACATTCAGAGTTATGGGAAAAGTGGTTTAAGCGATTTGAAAGGTATAGAATTGCATCAGGACTAAACAATGAACTTGAAGTAAAACAAGTAGGCCTAAGTTACTTGATTTACTGTATGGGGCCTGATTCTGAGGACATACTATCAACAGCACACCTCTCAAAAGATGACAAGGCCTCATATGAACCTGTAAAAGAAGCCTTTGATAACATATTTACTGGGAAAAGAAACGTCATATACAAACAAAGTCTAATTCAAGATCACAACATCCAAAAGAATTATTTGATACATTTCTAGATAGCGGACATAAGTTCAATGGCCGAACACTGTTCATTCAAGATAGAGCCTTAAAGCAGAACTAATACGTCATAGAATTGTAGTGGGTATAACAGACAAACGTTTGTCGGTCCAATTGCAAGAAGATTCAAATATTACACTGAAAAAAAAAAAAACAGTTCAAAAATGCAAACAAAAAGCAGCAAACAAGCAGCCAAACTAGGAATGATAAGCCAAGGAAAACATGCAGAAGTTGACCGAATCAAATCAGAGACCTTTGTTTTTACGTTGTTGCAGGTTTAAATGAACCTTTACTTAGAATTCCTGTGATTCAATCTTTAAATCTTATAACTCTCAGAAAACCTGATACTGCAGGTCTTAACTCAATTACCTTAGACTCTGTATTAACTAGGCACCCTGATCTTTTCATTGGTTTGGGTAGCATTCCAGGAGAATATAAAACTGAATTGAAAAAATTGCTCAACCGTACTCGGTTGGTGCTCCAAGAAACATATCAATTCTACGTTCAAAAGTGGAGACAGAATTGAACAGAATGTTGGACTTAGGAGTAATAGAAAAAGTAGAGTCTCAAACTGACTGGCGTGCACCAATAGTACCAGTACTCAAGCCCAATGGTAGTTTACGTTTGTGTGTCGATTATGATTATGTATACTGCACTTAATAGGATTTTTTTTACAACACAGATGTAAAAGAAACACTCAAGGACAAATTGGACGCTCTAAAGTATTTTCTAAATTAGATGCCCAGTCAGGGTTTTGGCTGATTATAATATCATCTGACACAGCTAAACTAACTTCTTTCATTACTTCATTCGGAAGATTATTTTCAAAAGATTACCCTTTGGCATTACACGCGCTCCAGATTTCTTCACTACACAGATGTTTATTTTAAATGGTAGTCCTGATAATCGATGGGGTAATTGTCACATGGATGACATACTTATACATGGCCAAACGCAAGAGGAACATGATTACAGGCACTTAAGTATTAGATCGCTTGAAAAAAAACAAAGATTGTACTGAACAAAGAAAAATGTTCTATTTCTCAAACGTCTGTGAAGTTTCTTGGAAACCTGATAGACTGCGATGGTATCAAGATCGATCGTATGAGAGCACTCAAAGAACTTCTCCTTCCTAAAGATATTGCGGGAGTTCGACGTATAAATGGTATGTTGAATCAACTGAACAAGTTCATTCCAAACTTGCTGATAAAACTTAATTCTGTGACCTCACTAGAAAGAATAGAATTTTTTTATGGACAAGTAAACATCAAGAAGCCCTTTCAGACATTATACAGGCCGTTAAAGAATCAATATCTTTAACAAAGTCGGATGTAAATGCTGAAGCTATTGTTATAGCCGATTCATCAGCAAATGGATTGGGTGCAATGTTACTTCTGGTTGAAGATAAATCTCCCAAAGTAGTGATATTGCTTCAAGGACCTTACAGGATTAGGATTGTGAAAGACAATATGCTCAGATAGAAAAGGAGGCTCTTGCATGTGCATGGGCCGCAGAAAAGTTTTCTAAGCTTTTAGATGGAAAAAAATTTAGAATCCTAACAGACCACAAACCATTAGTTTCGCTCCTAGGAAGCAAAGACTTAGACATATACTAGCTAGGATTCAGAGATTCAAAATGTGATTGATGATACCGTATTTGACTACTCCATTGAACACATTCCCGGAAAAGAAATGTTTACTACAGCAGATACATTAAGCCGAGCGCCGATTCCAGACTCTACAGAGCTTCTTAAATGTGAATGTGTGTGTCTTATTGTCGCCGAGGCTTCCTGTAGACACCATGCCTGAAAAACTCGCTTAAACATCGTGACAGGACAGTTTCCTATAGGTCTACTAGATACCTCACCAAGATTACTAGACACCACGCCCATATTACTAGACACCATTACCATTACTAGACATCATTACCTAGATTAACCTAACCTAACCGTAATCTGAGCAAGGTGTCTAGTAATCTTGGTTATGGTGTCTTGGATCTGGGTGTGGTGTCTAGTAAGTTAATCTATGAATGGTGTCTAGTTAGTTGGGCTTGATGTCAAGTAATCTGGGGGTGGTGTCTAATAATCTTGGTGAGATGTCTCTGAGTATTGTAAACTGTCCTGTCACGATGTTTAACTTAAGCGAGTTTTTCAGAGATGGTGGTCTAGTAATCTAGATGTGGTGTCTACAGGAAGTCTCGGGGACAAAAAAAACATTCGTGAAAGTTGTAGTGTTGGTGTCTAGGAACAGTTTAGAAACATCTTATAGAACGTTTTGGATGAGTTGGGAAAGTGAATAATAACCAAAGCGGTCATGCTTAACCCTTGAAGATAACCAGACATTTAATCCACCTTTTCAATAATAAACTTAGTGCGTTTAATATTTACCGCATGAAAAGAATTAATTAAGTTACACAGCCTGATTCAGCCTAGAATTCCGCACATTTAAAATACCTTGAATGTGGTTTTAGGTAGGTATGAAAAGATTTGACGTGGTTTTTCCAATTTTTCTGTGTTTAAGTTATAAGGCGGACTGGCTAATTGACTTTTCCAGGGAAAACGAAAATCATTTTTGAATACAGTTTGATAATTAGCATCATAGTACCGGTATTGTAAAAATACCATTTAACCTGACATCTGTGGTCAAAATAATTACCACCTGTCAATTGATTCATCTGAAAGAGCCATAGCCATCAAATATGATCCGGCTTGATGCTTTGAGCTGCATCACAGTCTGAAGTAAGTTAGGCCTACATAATTAATTTATCTTAGCATAACTGAGTCCTACAGTATAAAATCCAGTGAAATAACTTAACTAATTTTGTCCAACAAGATTCTTACCGAACCTTGAAGTAGGCCTAATAACTTAGGTAACTCAAAGCCATCTTTAACTTGATGAAGGTAGGTGTATGGCTCTGGGGAGTGGGATTTTTTAAACAATATTTATCTAAACGCCCTTTTAACTAAGTTCATTAAACGGTGTGGACTAGGGAATAAAAAGGAACTTGAGAGTGTTATCATACCTTAACTGTAAACAAAACAAGGCGTAGGCCTACGGTAATAAACAGGTAGCACTAATATATTCCACTGTTGCTAATATCACACACGGATAAAATGGGGTTTAGTCTAAAAAACAATGCACAATATTCCGAACAAACAAAATTAACTAGGTAGGCCTAATAGCTTAGTTTATCGTAGAAAACCGCAAATAGCAAAATTAGGCCAATCCACGGAGATGATCCGGTATTACTATTTACTACTGTAGTACTTAGCCTATTAGTGTATTGTTGGTTTACCAGGTTTAGGTAAACACAAAACAAATGAATTGCCCAAAGCCCAAAAATGACCAAATGATGAAGGAAAACTTAAGACTTTTAAGGTTAGATTTAGTTAGATTATGACTTATGGAATGGTTCGCACTTCGCTCTCGGCTCGCTGTGGTTGGTTCAGCACATGTAATTAATTGTTTTTGACAGAGAGAAAAAGGAACACCTTTTACCTTTTCACAACAACCTATAATCATTGGTTATACATATACAAAATACCTGAAAACGTCTTATAGCACTTGTTATAATATAGTTACACTTATACTGTTTACTCCACAGTCCACAAGACGATAAATATATATATATATAAGATGGCAAGTGGTATAAAATACTCAATAAATCATACTAGGTGGCGTTTGCAGAGGCATCCACAAAATTGAGCGGAGTCATCAAGAGTTTATATTATATTGTTTTGGTCATACTACAGTAACAGTTACACCGTTACACCAGTCGTTTTTAAAGCATGCGTTGCGGGTCTGTCTAAAGTAGCATTTTTACTCTTTAGGAAGTAAAAATACCTAGTTTGTATCCTCTATGGAGTAAAAATCAGCTGTTGTCAACTCAGTTGTAAATTTCTATATTGTAAACGATTGCATGTATCGAAATATGTATCGATTCGTGCTTCGTAATTATTTTAATCTACAGTCTACAGTCTCTTCCCATAGCCTTTTAGCATTGCAGATACATTAATCCATTCCCACACTCAACACGCTCACCTTTACTACTTCCTTCACCACCCCCAACGTCGTGGACCTGTTTCCCTCTCTTCCCACAGCATTTTAGGATTGCAGATACATTAATGTAATTGCCAAAGATAGTTCCCACACTCTGCACTGTAAGCCTTACTACTTCCTTCACCATTTCCTACGTCAGAGACTTGTTTCCTTCCCTTCTCATAGCATTTTTGGATTAAAGATACATCAATCTAACTACCACAGACGGTTTTCACACTATGCTCATACTTTACTACTTTCTAAGCCATTTCCTACATCGTGGACCTGTTTTCACCACTTTTCATAGCAATTTAGTATTTTAGATACGTTAATCTAATTGCCACAAACATTCCCCACACTCTGCACTGCTAGCCTTTACTACTTCTTTCACCATTTTCTATGTTGTGGGGATGCTTCCATCCCTTCTCATAGCATTTCAGCATTGCAGATACGTTAATCTAACTGCTACAAACGGTTTCCAGTTCCCACACTCCACACTGCTCACCTTACTACTTCCTTCACCTCTTCTTACGTCGCGGACCTGTTTCCCTCTCTTCCCATAGAATTTTAAGATTGTAGATACCTTAATCTAATCGTCATAAACAGATCCCACACTCCGGACAGCTCACCTTGACGACTGCCTTCACCACTTCATATGTCTCGGACCTTTTATCTCCCTTCCCATAGTATTTTAGGATTGCAGATTCCTTAATCTAATCGTCATAAACAGTTCCCACACTCCGGACTGCTCGCATTTACTACTTCCTTCACCACTTCCTACGTCACGGACCTGTTTACCTCCATTCCCATAGCATTTTAGGATTGCAGATACCTTGATCCAATGGTCATAAACAGTTCCCACACTCCGGACAGCTTGCCTTGACTACTTCCTTCACCACTTCCTACATCGTGGACCTGTATTCCTCCCTTCCCATGGCATTTAAATATTGCAGATACCTCAATCTAATCGTCATAAACAGTTCCCAAACTCCGGACAGCTCGCCTTGACTACTTCCTTCATCACTTCCTACGTCGCGGACCCGTTTTCCTCCGCTCCCATAGCATTTTATGATTGCAGATACATTAATCTAATCGTCATAAACAGTTCCAACACTCCGGACTGCTCGCCTTTACTACTTCCTTCGCCACTTCCTACGCCACAACCCTGTTTACCTCCCTTTCCATAGCATTTTTGGATTGCAGATACCTTGATCTACTCGTCATAAACAGTTCCCACACTCCGGACAGCTCGCCTTGACTACTTCATTCACCACTTCCTACGTTATGGACCCGTTTTCCTTCCTTTCCAAAGCATTTTATGATTGCAGATACCTTAATCTAATCATCATAAACAGTTCCCACACTCCGGACTGTTCGCCTTTACTACTTCTTTCACCACTTCCTACGTAGCGGACCTGTTTCCCTCCCTTCCCATAGCATCATAGGATTTCAAATGCCTTAATCTATAATGGTCATTAACAGTTCCAACACTCTGGACTGCTCGCATTTACTACTTCCTTCACCACTTCCTACGTCACGGACCCGTTGACCTCCCTTCCCATACCATTTTATGATTGCAGATATCTTAATTTAATCGTCATAAACAGTTCCCACACTCCGGACTGCTCGTATTTACTACTTCCTTCACCACTTCCTACGTAGCGGACCTTTTTCCCTCCCTTCCCATAGCATCATAGGATTGCAAATGCCTTAATCTAATGGTCATAAACAGTTCCCACACTCCCGACTGCTCGCTTTTACTACTTCCTTCGCCACTTTTAACGCCACGGACCTGTTTCCCTCACTTTCCATAGCATCATAGGATTGAAAATACCTTAATATAATGGTTATAAGCAGTTCCCACACTCCGGACAGCTCGCCTTGACTCATGGCCCCCACAAGGGTGGGGCTGGTGCAACTCTGGTCACAGGGCCCGGGGCCTCAGGGGGCCCGGGCCTACCCATATTTTTTTATTTTTTTCCCCATTGAAGATCACTTTACAGCAGATCATAAATTGAAGATAAAAAATAATATATATATTTTACAAAAAACAAAGTTTAATAATTTAAAATGCATTAATTCTAGATTCTAAGGTAGTTTATATTTAAATACTATAGCTGCGTAGGAGCGTATGTTCTATACAACAGCAGAACAGCCAGCTCGGGCCCCAGTGGCCGGCTCCACAAACTCCCTCTACCCTTTCCTCCCGCCAGGCGCCTAGCCCCTCCTACCTCACTCTCCCCGTAATAAACAAAGTTTGGTTTTATAATTGAACTGATAGTTTCAAGAATGAATCCTTATAGTTATAAGTTAAAATAAAATTTGTAAAGCATTGAAAAATTGACATGTACTATGTACCATAGCTAAGGTGACCAGACGTCCCGTTTTAGGGGGACTGGTCCGTCCCGACAAATTCTCTCGGGACGCGTATTTGTCCCGTTTTATCAACATTTGGTCCCGGTTGCACTTTTATGTATGGTATTCCATTTTCCATTTTTCAATTAATGATTGCAATCTAGGTTATTTGACACAAACTTAAAAATTTGGTATCGTTAGTTCTGAAAATTTCCTTCAAATGTCGGAGCTGTTACATTTCTGTATCATCTTCTGTTTTGATTTGAAACCCCTATTCCTGGCGGATTCATGTACCGGGCATTCAATCATCAGGTGTTCTACTGATTCCTTGCGGCCCATTGCGCAGCTACCGCAAATAACGAAATTACAAACGGGGAAATAAAACTGGGGCTAAGGATAACTTCTTTCTAATCTTTCATCTCATTTTTGGCTGATATTGAGTCTCCTTCAAGTGGTCTGATTGGCTCGAGAGCGTGTGCAGCCGTAACATATAATCATAGTAGGTACTTAGATTAAGAGTATATTATTTATCTATTATTAAGGGTACCGGCACTCTTGTCTTAATCTTAGTCAATGCTATCATTTCGATAGTACTATACTTTCAATATAATATCTTCTAATGGTATAGATAAAATGCTATATTTTCTACTAACACCTTTGATCGTTCTCATGCACAAATAATATGCCTGGTTTAGTTAGGAAAAACCTAATAGGAAAGTATTAAACCCAGGGCTGGATTTAGAATTTTGGCTTTTGTGCATCCTTTTGTAACGAAGTTGATATGTCTTGGAAAATGGTAGTTTGTTTATATGAACGGGTGTTTGCGAACCAGCATGATCGGACTATGGGAATTTATGGGGGGTTTTATTAGGGGCTAAAAATTTAGTTTTCTCATTTTTGGCCCATATATAAAACTTTGAATTCCTCAATTTTTCTCTTAAACATTTTCTAGATCTCATAGAACAAAAAAATCAGTATTTTGTAATTTCGAACTGTTTTTGGCAAAACTGTTGTTGGTTTTTTTTCCTAAGCTATTAACATTTCATCAAAAACTTTTATCTTCCCCCTAGCAGCAAATCAAATAAGTAGGCCTACTCGTTTAACCTTAAGTTATTTCAATAGGGAATAAAGCTGACATGCTTAAAGGAATATTTTAGCGGAAATCCAGTCAGTTTCAGGTAAATGGAAATTATAGCTTATTCTGCAGGTTTGCTAGGGGGGGGGGGGGTATTATATTATTTTATTTATTTATTCTCAACAATAGCAAAAGTCAATTTCTAGAGTTCTTATAAGAAAAATGATGCAATATTATAAATAATCGTAAGTAGCCTAGATCGTGTAGTAATTTTAAATCAAAATTTCTCCATTACCTAAAAAAACTCTTACTAGGTGGCGTTTGCAGAGGCATCCACATAAAATTGAGCGGAGTCATCAAGGGTTCATATTATATTGTTTTTGTAATACTGCAGTAAAAACAATCTATGTAGTAGTAAAAGTAGCAATTTTACTCTTTAGGGAGTAAAAATCGTTTTTAGCCTCTATGAAGTAAAAATCAGCTGTTTTCAACTTATTTGTAAATGTCTATTGTAAACTATTGCATGTATCGAAATATGTATCGATTCGTGCTTCGTAATAGTTTTAACCTACAGTCTACAGTCTCTTCCCATAGCATTTTAGAATTAATTGTGGATAAATTAATCCATTCCCACACTGAACAGTGCTCACCTTTACTACTTCCTTCACCACCCCCTACACGTGGACCTGTTTTCCCCTCTTCCCATAGCCTTTAAGGATTGCAGATACATTAATTTAATTGTCAAAGACAGTTTCCCATACTCTGCATTGCAAGCCTTACTACTTCATTCGCCATTTCCAACATCATAGACCTGTTTCCTTCCCTTCTCATAACATTTAAGTATTAGATACATTAAATATATCTAACTGCCCAAACGGTTCCCCCACTCTGCACTGCCAGCCTTTACTACTTCTTTCACCACTTCCTACGTCGAGGAGCCTCTTT